TTGCCCTGTACTCAGAGATCCGCCTGCCTCTGCCTCCCGAGTGCTGGGATTAAAGGGGTGTGCCACTACACCCAAGCCATTCATTGTGGGGGGAAGCCTTCTACATAGGAACAAAAGCAAATATGTCACCATATAACATGAGCCTTTCCCTCTGCAATCCAGCTGTGCTGCCATGAGGGAGTTTAGTGTTAGAGGGTTCAGAAACCATAGGTCCAGTATTACTTTACAAACCAATCGACATGTCAGCTTCCACAGAGGTGGGGGGGGGGGGGAGAGAGCACTAAAGACCCCCTGATGACCAGAGTACTTAATTTACTTGTTTAGCTATGGGAGGGATTAAACCCAGGGCCTATCACATTCCAGGTAAGTGCTCTAACGCTCTAACTCACTCTCTCTCTCTCTCTCTCTCTCTCTCTCTCTCTCTCTCTCTCTCTCTCTCTCTCTCTCTCTCTCTCTCTCTCTCTCTCTCTCTCTCTCTCTCTCTCTCTCCCCAAGCCCACAAAGTCTAACTTTAGAAAAATAAGTTGGTACCAAAAACACAGATGCCACATTTCTGCTCCCTGTGTTACAGACGTGTTTATAAGAAGTTAGTCACGGAGGCAGGACAGATGGCTCAGCAGTCAAGAGCACCGGCTGCTCCTGCAGAGACCCAGGTTCAATTCCCAGCACCACAGGGCAGCTCACAAACATCTGTATTCCGCCCCAGAGCATCGTATATCCTCTTCTGACCTCCGCAGGTACCAGGTATGCACACAGTACACAGAAATACATGCAGAAGCAACACCCAGAGACATAAATGAAACAGTTTTTAAAAAGCCATTAAAACTCGGTAAAAACAAAACAAACAAACAAAAAAGCAGTGGCTCAGAGAACCTCTGGGGTCAAACTTGGTCTGTCTCAGGTAATGTTCTCTAAGTGGCTTAGGACAGAATTGGGCACTCGGCACTTGCTTGCTTTATGTTAGCTGCTATAATTCCATTCAATATTTAACTACCAGCTGGGACAGCCAGCCATGAGGGGTTTCTGAGCAGGGGGTAAAGCAAAGGCTGTTGCTCTACCAGCTGGAGCAGGACTCCCCGCTATTTCCTTTTCTTAACACCTAAAAAACAAAACAACAACAAAAATACATATCCCCTGCACGACCACCCCACACCCCACCCCCAGTCCGGGTAGGTTAATTTGTACTCCCCACAGGTCCGTGGGTGTGGGAGTAAATCACGCATGTGCTCAACCCAGCAGCTAGCATTATACAATCTGCATCTCTAAGGCAACCAGAAAGTCCCAGCATGTAAGCAGGGATGCTGAATGCCTGCTCTGGATGCCAAAGTGGTTAGACCAGTTTCCTGACTCCAGCAAAGGAGTTGGGACATGCTAAGGTACCAGAAACCCAAAGGAGGTTTGATGTTGGTGGAAGGAGAGAAACTTAGGGGAAGTCCAGAAGTCTGGTCGTAAGGGAGGCGGCATGGGACCAGGTCATCTGGGAGTGTTCGGTAGCCAGACAGGCTTAGAGAATGGACTCCTCCCTCCCATCATGAGTTTGGGAATCTCTGAGTTCCAGTCCAGCCTGATCTACAGAGAGAGTTCTAGGACAGCCAGGGATACACGGAGAAACCCTGTGTCTAAAAAATGAAAGAAAGAAAGAAAGAAAGGAAGGAAGGAAGGAAGGAAGGAAGGAAGGAAGGAAGGAAGGAAGGAAGAAAAGGAAGCATTATAATTGCCCTTCTTTACCAGCTGGCCATTGGTGGTCTCTAAACCCAGCACTGGGGAGGCAGGTAGATCTCTGTGAGTTCGAGGACAGCTTGGTCTACAGAGTGAGTTCCAGGACAGCCTCTAAAACAATACAGAGAAACCCTGTCTCGAAACACAAAAAAAAAAAAAAAAATTTCAAGTACCAGGGAGGGAACGAGAGACTGGTGGCCTTTGTTGAGGTCCCCACAAAGAAAGCGTTTCCTCCCAGTAAAGCATAGTTCTTAAGAGTTGACCCAACTATGCCTGTTAGTCACCTAGCCAGGGGACGTCCTCTCAGCAAGGCGGATATACCTGAAGACTTATTAAGATCATGGTAGGAATATCTGTCACTTCATGAGATAAGTACATATAGACGCCAGAAGTCCCTTCCTGGAGGCAGCTGCTTAAAAATATATATATATATCTTCACTAAGCCTGCCCACTCCTCTGAGCTCTCTTCGCAAAAGCTAATCATGCCTGCCCCCGGCATTCAGAACACGGTCACTCCCCGATACTCGACGCCCCTGGTCCACACAGCTGCCTGCAGGGTTTTCATTGCTGAGCCTGGGCTGACCCTTAACTCAAAGGGCACCCTCCCACCCTCCACCAAGCCACACAGAGTCACAGCTTGCCGGCCCCGTTTCCTCTCCAACTCCAACAACATGGTTCCCGAGCTTTAAAAGGTTTCCATCAACTGAGACTAGGAATCCGCAAACACGGTGCCCCGAGTAAGCGAGTGGCAACCCTGCTCCAGAGCGGTGAGGACAGCAGGGTTGGAGTAGGGGGTGGGGGCGGGGGGACCGAATGCACCCGGGCACTAAAGGCATCGTGGCTGGTGCAAGTGCGAGCGGAGGACCGCGGGGAGGAAGAGGAAGAGGATGTGTATCCCACTCAACCCTCTATCCCTGGGCCCCAGGAAGCTGGCAGCCGGCCAGCCGGGGGGAAGGGGGCGGCCGGGCTTGGGAGCATCTCACCCCCGCCCCGCGCGCCCCCCGCGCACCTTAAGAGAGAGCGGGAAAATGGAACAGGAAGGGAGGCTTAGGTTTCGGACCCATCTTCATCCACCCTTGCGATGCTGGGGTGGGTGCAGAGGCGGGGCCTCGCAAAGTGGGGGGCAGGGGCAGGTGCCCAGGTCCTCTGCCACCCCTCTCCTTAAGGGCGCAGCCACCATCGCCTTCCTGCCCGCCTCGCTCACCTGTCGGACCTCAGAAGCCGGGGTCCAGCAGCCCGATCGCCCGCCCTCCGAGCTCAGGTTCCCCGCACCTGCGCACTCCCGGCTCTCAAGCCAGAGAGGCTCGACTCCTTAAAGGCGCACGCGCCCGAGCCCGCTCGCGTCCTCCGACAGAAAAACCAAGCCAGCCCCAGCAGCCGGCGTTGGGTCTCAGCAACCGGTTTTGGGGGTCTGGGGGACGCTGGATCGCTGCTACCCTGAGCTCATTATTCGCTTTCCCAGATCTAAACATGCGATTGTAGATTCAGTCAAATAGAGAACAATATTGATCTCTACAAGGTCTTGAGGTCAATTTAGTGCATTATCTTGGGCCCACAAGATGGCTTAGCTGTCCCCGGTGCTTGCTGCCAAGTCTGGCGACCTGAGTTCTAATCCCGGGGCTCATAAGGGAGGGAGAGAATCAGCTCCTGTAAGCCGTCCTGTGACTGCCACACACATGCCTATAACCACATAGGAAGCAAACCGCTGGGCACGTCTTTGAAGCATTTTCTAGATAGGATGGAGGAGTGAATATGGGGGCACCATTCCACGGTCCGGGGTTCCCGACTGAATACGAAGGAGAAAGAGAGCCGGCACCAGCGTCCATCTCTCTGTGCTTCGTGGCTGCAGACGCCTGACGACCGACAGGCTCGCATCCCTGCCTCCACGCTCTCCTCTCTGTGTAATCCCCTGTACCCTCTGTCATCCTCTGTGTCCCCTCGAATGGCGAGCACAAAGAAACCCCACCTCCCTTCGGTCGCTCCCTGTCACATATTTGATCCCAGCAACGAGAAAACCAACTAAGACAGAGTCCGTGTTTATAAGAGGAAAATAATGGAGATTGCTTAATCGGAGACTCTCACGAAGGCCGTGTTCAACATGCAAGTGTCGCAAGAGAAAAACAAAATGCAAAAAGTTTCCACATGGACCCGGATGCCAGCTGAATTAATTCCTAGTCTCATAAAGCGTTGCACGATCCGGCCCCCAGGACATCTTCATGGCACCTCTAAGCCAGCCACTGCCTTGCCGTACCTTCCCTGTTCCTTCATTCATATGTGCTCTCTCTCTCTCTCTCTCTCTCTCTCTCTCTCTCTCTCTCTCTCTCTCTCTCTCTCTCTCTCTCTCTCTCTCTCTCTCTCTCTGTGTCTGTCTGTCTGTCTCTCTGCAGTCTCCTCTGTGTGTGTGTGTCTGTCTGTCTGTCTCTCTGCACTCTCCTCTCTCTCTCTCTCTCTCTGTGTCTGTCTGTCTGTCTGCACTCTCTCCTCTCTATGTGTCTGTCTGTCTCTCTGCACTCTCCTCTCTCTCTCTCTCTGTGTCTCTGCACTCTCCTCTCTCTCTCTGTGAGTGTGTGTGTGTCTGCACTCTCTCCTCTCCCTCCCTCCCTCTCTCTCTGTGTGTGTGTGTCTGTCTGTCTCTCTCTCTCTCTCTCTCTGTGTCTGTCTGTCTCTCTCTCTCTCTCTCTGTGTGTGTGTCTGTCTGTCTCTCTCTCACACACACACACACACACACACACTAGAATTCACTATAGCGTATGTATTCATTTAGGTGGCTGTGGACTCTCTCAGGCTCCTTCCCATTTTCAGGTCTCCAGGGGTGAGGGGCACAGAACAGGAAAATGTTAGCGTTTTCTGTTTGCCTCGGCTTGCGCTCCAGGCTTCGTCATGGCTTCTTGAAGCCCCCAACAAGTCTGTGAGGTGGGTACTATTACTAGCCCCACTTTACAGATGAAGAAAATTTGAGCTTCCAAGAGACTAAATAGCCAACTAGAGTCACACAGCCAACCAGTAATATTGTCATAATGGACAGCCGTGCATGTCTGAACACAAAGTTTATGCGGAAATCGTTAAGCCATCTGCTTAATAGAATTAAATCTGAAGGATGTGGCATGTGGAAATTCTAACCCTAAATATTCAGCAATCCATAACACACTAGCATTTCGAAGCCACAAATAACAACAACAATAAGCCAAAACAAAAAACAAAACAAAAAAAAACAACAAAACCTTTCCCAATCGACCCAAAATATCAGTCATTCATTTACTTATAAATTAAATATTACTAACCTTTCAATGCTTCGTAGAAGTCGAGGCATGAAAGATTCACTCTGATTCATCCCTTCAAGGAGAATGCTCCTCTGCGTCTAAATTGCAGGGTTTGTGGAGGTATGTAGCAAGACCCTGTCTCAAACAGAAAGAAAAAATTTAAAAACCCAAACCAGACAAGTCACTATGCCAATCTGCCACATATGAACCCAGATAACCTCAATCGAGAAGCCCTAAATGTGTGTGTGTATGTGTGTGTGTGTGTACGTGTGTGTTCCTGTGGGCACATGTGTGATGTGTGCCAAGTTGCCCGTGTGGAAGCCAGAGGACTGCCTCAACTTTTGGTCTTTCACTATTCCCCTTGTTCTGATGCAGTCTCCTGCTTTTCCCTGCAGTGTAGGCGAGGCTAACCAGCCCACAAGCTTCTGGGAATTCTCCTGCCTGCACTTCCCATCTTGTCACAGGAGCGATTATAGACACATGCTGCTGCACCACCTCCCTTTTTTAAAACACTTATTTATTACATATACAGTGTATGTACACATGCACACCAGAAGAGGGTGCCAGATCTCGTTACAGATGGTTGTGAACTACCATGTGGTTGCTGGGAATTGAACTCAGGACCTCTGAACTGCTGTGCTGTCTCTCTAGCCCCTGGTTTGTTTGTTTTTTGGTGTGGGTCCTCGGGGATCCAAACTCTGGTCTTTACATGTGCACGGAAAGTACTTTATCCCTTGAGCATGTTCTCAGCACCTGTAAACCCATCATTCTTTAGTCATTGTTGTTTTTAAGACAGGGCTTCTCAGTGTGCAACAATCCTGGCTGTCCAGGAACTCACTTTGTAGGCTTAGGCTGGCTTTAAACTCACTAAGATTCTCCCGCCTCTGCCTCTGCTTCTCAAGTGCTGGGATTAAAGGTGTGCGCCACCACCGCCCAGCTTAAACTCATCATCTTTCTCACTGTGTTGTGTTCATTTGTGGAAAGTGCCCTTGGAGCCCAGTCATAGAGATTTGTAGCTGAGGACAGAAGTTTGACCTTGAAGAATCATTGAGAGAGCCCTCTCTGAAGCTTAAACTCTCCAAGCGTCTGAGTGGACGTGGAAGGTGATGGAAGGTTTCCCCAATGTTAACCTGGACCTTTAAGGAGAAGCAAATGAGACTCAGCCCCCAAAGTTGCTGGGATTCAAATGTTAACAACAGGAAAAAGGTTGATTTAAGCTGAGATTTAATTAAAAGATGAATTTTAAAAAGCGAGCGAGCATATGGGGCGCCAGCAGATGGAGAGGGATGGCAAGAGGGCCAGTTTCCTAATTTAGGTCTTCACCGTGAAAAGAGCTTTGGGATAAAACAGCCCCCAAGGGGAACTGACTCAGTAGAGAATGAAATGTACCCAATAATGCAGATCAAGAGAAATGGCCACCCTGTGTACCAAACATTTCCACGGTCTTCAGTAATCTACGCTAGCAGCCCTTCAAGACTGAGCATCCCACTTCAAACAGGGTAGAGACACATGCTGGCCTAGGAGCCCAGAGGCGAGACACTGCTTTCTAACAAAGGGCTGCCCCTGGTTACTGAACGAAGCCACAAGAAGCAACGCTCAGGAAAGCTTTGCAATAAGACGGGGGATAGTTGGGGGTCACAATTTCAACAGCACTCTTCAAGGGAGATAAGGAGATCCTTCTAAGATCCACAGGAATGAGTAGAGTAAAAAAAAGAAAAAAGGAAAAATAAAGCCCTAACACCCCATTTTAAGAAATCCTCAGGACTTAGACAGAAAAGCACACTGTTCACAGTGTGGCATTACACCGAGGTGGATTTAAAATCCTGATGAACCCTCACAGCTGTTTACCTGGGTACCATCCATGTGCACAGGACACATCTTCATCATAAAGAAAATGTGTCTAAGGAAGAAAGAGTTCAGCAAAAAAAAAGTGGGGAGACGGCCAGCCAGCCCCAGTGAGTGGTACAGACCTAGGGAGCTCAAGGAAGGAGCATTGTAAGTTTAAGGACAGCAGGGACTATAGGGTAAGTCCAAGGCCAGTCTGAACAACTTGAGACCCTGTCTCAAAATAAATAATGGAAAATCTGGCTACGGATACAGTACAGCGGCAGAGCACTTGCCTAGCACACGCACATGCACACACACACACACACACAAAGCCTTCCATCTACTTTCCAGTTGGAGGGTGGGGTGGGGTGGGGGTGGGGTGGTGCCTAGACAGTTGAGTATTTATATTGAAAACGAAAGAGTTTTAGAGTGGATATGGGTAGCGTACCTAACACCCAGGGGCAGGAAGCAAATTTGAAGCTAGTAGCTTGGATTACCTGATGAGACCCTGTCTAAGGAAAAAAGAATTTAATAACCTCCCCAGAGGGACAGGTTAAAGCCTTTAGTTTAAACTGACCCACACTTGGCATTTCCAGGCCTTGCTGATCCAGTGGCTGCAAAATGGTCACTTGGCACCTGTCTCCAGGTCTAGCAACTCTCCATGCTTTCATTTTTATTTTGCTTTGCCGTTTGTGTTTCCATGTCTAGCTCCCATGTCATTTTCCCAGTAGCTTTCTTTCTGAGGGTGTGCATGCAAGCGTGCACGTGTGTGTGTGTGTGTGTGTGTGTGTGTGTGTGTGTGCGCGAGCGTGTGTGTATCTATTTGGGCCGGGGGGGGGGGGCCAATCTGGGGTGTTGTCTTCATTCTCTCTCCAGCTTAGTTTCACTGAACCTGGAATTCGCGCAAGGGCTGCTGGCCAGCAGGGCCTCAGGATACTCCTGTGCTGGGATAACGGATGCTTACTGCCTTCTCCAGCCCCTTTCATGGGTCCTGGGGATCTGAACGTGGGTCCTTGTACTTTGTCCCCTAAGCCGTCTCCCCAGCTCCTCCCCAAACTGTCTATATGGTTCACAGTTTCAGGTGTAGCGGATATCTTCTCCCATTTCTGGCTTGCCTTTTCTAATTCTCTAGTGGATTTGGGTAGACATTCACTTCGGTGCAGTCCAACTGGCCTAATGCTTGGCGCGTTCCTCTCTTCACCGTTAGCGTGTAAGTTTTGTACAAAGCAATCGTCTTTATCACGAGCCTTCGCGTGTCTGCTTTGATCACCTTCTCCCCCTCACCCTCTTTTTAACTCCAACCCACCTCCCGACTCCAGTTGGGGATGCCCTCCCACAAATAAACCCCCCCTTTACCTTCGTGCTTTAGAGAGATCTAGGGTCTGCATCTAGGAGAAAACGTAGTATTTTACCTTCACTTTCTATGATAACCTTCGCTTTGAGCCTTTTTCCTGCAAATGTGCCCCCCCCCTCCCCGGGGCTGAATAAAACGCCTTCGTGCACACCCAGCAAGGTCTCTTCATCCTCCCAGCTGTTGGTGGTCACCAAGGCTGCTTTCACAGCGCCTTCCAGTGAACCCCGTGTGGTGCCTTTTGGTGTCTCCTTTAAGAAATCCTTGCCCAGCTGGGTGGTGGTGGCGCACGCCTTTAATCCCAGCACTCGGGAGGCAGAGGCAGGCGGATCTCTGTGAGTTTGAGGCCATCCTGGTCTACAAAGTGAGTTCCAGGACAGCCTCCAAAACAATACAGAGAAACCCTGTCTCGTAAACCAAAAACAAAACAAAACAAAAAACCAAAAAAGAAATCCGTGCCCACTTCACTGTCCCAGGGGCTGAGATTAGAGGAGGCACGGTGAGTCCAGGAGACAGCGTCAGGGACAGTAAGTAAATAGATAGGTAAGCAGCAAATGCCCCCGCTGCCCCTGGCTGGCTGTGTGAGGAGCGGAAACTGCCCCAGCGCTTGAGTGGCTTGGTCACAAAGAGGCGGAAACTAGACCCTGGAGTGAGAACCAAGAGAACACGGCTGAGAGAGGCGTTTCAGGCCAAGACGGAAGAGAACGGCGTTGGTGCACGTTCCCTGCTCTCCCATGCCAGTTTGCAAGCACATTGGTCTCATTGAACGGCAGGTGATCAGTTAGCCACTGGCAGTGGGGAAGCTGTACCGTCGATTCTTTCCCCCGCCAGCTGCCTGGGTCCCGCAGCTGTCTCGGCCCCCAAATAACACACGAGACACAACATGAATTATGAAGCTGTTGGCCGTTTGTTATGGTTTCCTGTACGGCTAGCTCTGACTTAATTATTAACCCATAATTACTAATATATGTTTCTACAAGGTCTTATCTTACCGAGGACGCAGCTTCATGCATCCTCTCTTCCCGGGATCACATGGCGACTCCCTACTCTTGACTACATTTCCCAGAATCCTCCTCCACTCCTAGTCCCACCTATCTTGCTTCCTGGCCAGCAGTGCTTTATTTGTCAACCAATAATATGACAACATACACACAGAAGGACGTCCCCCCATCAGGGAGCGTTTTCTCTCTGCCTTCTCTGGGCCTAACATTGTGGTTTTCGTGCGTTAGCCCTGTTCTCTTTCATCTTCCAGCCTCCGAGTCTGCTATTACTTCTGCCATTTTAACAGGGAGGAAAACCGAGCCTTTCTTAAGGTTGGGTAACTTGTTCCAAGGTCACTCCAGCTGTGATGGGGGCCAGGGAGCTGGGTTGTTTGCTGAACCGACGCCGTCAACCAGCCTGTCACTCTCGAGAACCTCCTAAGCTTTGTGTGACACACGCTGCAGGCTACAATAAGGACTCCGTGGAAGTCACAAGTGGTGGGAGACATGTTGGAGAGGCCGGTGTTATCGCTAGAAATGTACCTCATTTCAGGGACGATGCCTGCAGCTTGGTTGGGTGTGAGTAGGTCTCCATGGAAACAGCTCCCCCTGGCTTCTCACAGAGGAGCTGGCTCTCCGTTTCAGAAGCAATCTTGAAGACACTTTTTGGACCTCCGCTGTACCCACAGGAGCTCCTGAGGGCAACGCAAAGTGACGGATGGGGACACAAGCTTGTACTCTGTCACGTCTGTTCTGCCATCCACTCGGTGACAATGTGTCTACTCTCTCCCAGCTCTGGCTTCTGTACCCTTTTATATAACGGGGTCAGTGCAGCACGCACCCCTTATGTTTGGTTTTTCGAGACAGGGTTTCTCCGTTGCAGCCCTAGGTGTCCTGAAATTAGCTCTGTAGACCAGGCTGGCCTCGAACTCACATAGGTCCACCTGCTGCCTCTGCCTTCCAAGTGCTGGGACTAAAGGCGTGTGCCACCACCACCACTGGGCGTTAATAAACTCTTACACAAAATAAATGTTAATTATGCCTATCCCTTTCCACTTACCCATCCTTTGCCTCTTATCTAATCCTAATGCCTGTGACTCACTTTGATTTAGTGTTGAAAATCTAGTACCCTAGGAGCTGACCCGACTGTAGGCCTGGGTAAACTGGACCAGTAGCTCACCTTCCCAGCATTACAGTCAGAAGTCGTCATAGCTCAGATCAAAAGGTGGCCAATGGGACTCAAGATGATTTGAGCTTAAGACTTAGGCTGGAAATTCAAAGTTGTGACTGTTTCATGGACACAGATATTTCGCAGGTCCAGAAAGCTCAGTGAAACTGAAGATGAGTCCCATTAATTACTTAATTTTTAATCCTTCATGGAAGAAGCTATTTTATTCATCCTTTTGTTTTGTTATGATTTTTATTTTTTTATTTTTCAAGACAGGGTTTCCCTGTGTAGCAGCCCTGGCTGTCTTGGAACTCAGTCTGTAGACCTGGCTGGCCTTGAACCCACGGAGATGGGCCTGCCTCTGCCACCACCTTCCAGCTTATCCATCCTTTTATACCTCTTTAGTCTGGGTTCTGCTGGCATAACAGCATACTGGAGGTTGGATGATTTGTAAAGAAACGAGGAGCCAGGTGGTGGTGTCTTACGCCTTTAATCCCAGTACTGGGGAGGCAGAGACAGGTGGATCTCTGAGTTTGAGGCCAGCCTGGTCTTCATACCAAGTTCCAGGACAGCCAGGGCTGTTACACAGAGAAAGCCTGTCTAGAAAAACAAAACAAAACAAAACAAAATGAACCACCATCAACAACAACAACAAAAATGAAGTGTGTCTCGTCTCCGGACTCGTGCTACGTCAGCTCATAGTAGAAAACACCAGGAGGAAGCAGGATGAGGAAAAAACAAAAGTCAGCGGGTTAAGTGGGTTTGTGAGACCCTGGAATTTCGAGACAAGGTTTTACTATGTGGCCTGGGCTGGTCTCATCCTGACAACACGCTCCTCCTGAGTCCTGGGATCACAGGCCATCACCCCTGGATGGATATAGCATTCTTGCTAGAACAAGCCCATTCCTGTATTGTTCCCTCTTAGTAACCTAATCTTGTTTTAGTGGTCCCACCACTTGTCAACATAGGTCTGTCAAAGTGGGATTTGCAGATGATGAAGCACTCCACCCTTACAAGGGCGAACTGTTGATAACATCTCTGAAAAAAATCCACTGTGTGAAATGATCCCAAGCCCCATCCAGAACTACTTGAGGAATGATGTCTTAGAGGAGAGTGCTGTGAACGACACTGGCCGGCAGCTAAATCTGGTCTGGGGACGGCTTTGGCGGCTCTGCTCTCCGAGGGAACGCCCACGCTCCGAGTGTCATTCCCATCCTGAGAACCACCTATGAGTCACTGTTCGGCTCAAACCTGCTTTCCCACTCTGCCTTTGCAAGCTGCTGTGGCTTCTGATGGATCGATATATCAAGGCCAGACGCGTGACGACTCAGAAGGTGATATTCTCCAAAACCGCACTTAGCAAACCACTGGAGACCCCTGTGACACAGCCAAGGTGTCCCTACGTACCTGAAAGTCATCGGAATCAAAATGGAGTCACTTACACTAACACAAAAATAAAACCAGGAGCTTCTGAATGAAGGGTTCCCCAACTCTATTCTCCGGTAGTGGCGATCACAAAAACTCTGCCGGAACCGCTCCCCCCTTACTTAAAGGCCATCACGGTGACATACAAAAGGTACTTCTAGCCAAGCACGGTGACACACATCTGTAATCCCAGCCCAGGAAAGATTGATGCAGGGGAATAAGTTTGAGGCTAGCTTGAACAGCCCCCAAAGAGATTCTCTTGAAAAACTGAGGATACCTGTGTGGGAACTGTTCGTTTAACCCGACTGACCCGACTGCAACTGTTATTTTAATCACTGCAGCCAAGATTACCATTGACACCATTTTGCGGGGGGCCTCCTCACCTTACCTTTAAAAGCTTCCGCCTACCTCAACCTCTCTGCCACGCTCTAAGCGGCACATGCTTGACCACCCCAGTGTTCCGCTCTTCACAAATAAGCATCTTTAGTCTTCCGGCAACTGTGTCTCTGGCTGCTACGTGGGTTGAGATGCTGAGCTAAACCAGGAAGTTTCAAACTACCAAGCTTAATCTTTTGTTGCTGGTAATCCAGGGATGGGGAGGCGGCGAATTGTTCTCAGTGTTCTGAGCTGGAATGGTGGCAGACCTTGTCATCATTCCACGCGGAGAAGAAACGATGTAGGTGGCTGACCAGTACTCACGTTGTAGAGTCAAATATTCCTGGGTGTGCCTCATGCTTGCTGTGAGATCCGGGTCGGGTGATTGTCCACTTCTAGGCATAACTTCCCAACCACACAATGAGCAGAGTAGCGTTCAGGAGGTTGTGAAATGTGGGGTCTACTACAGCTTGGTACCCACGGCCGTTATAATTACTTTATAATTGTGTTCCCATGGAAACAGCCTGCCCTACACAGTTCAAGGAAACTATCCTTCGGTTATCATGCAGGGTATCAAATAGCAATAATTTAGTGTGAGTTATTACGCCCTTTTAATTCATGCCTGTTTCCTGTGTCTCGCTCTGCCAGTCATCCTGGAATCCTCGGAGATGCTCATTTAAGAAATCCCAAGATAGCTGAGGTAGTGCAGGTCTCTTAGCCCAGAACTTGGAAGGCAGAGGCAGAGAGCTCAGGAACTCTGGTTCCCTCTCAGCTAAACAGTGAGTTTGAAGCCGGCCTGGCCCACCTGAGACCCATAAAGAAAAAAAGAAAGGAATGGAGGGGAGGGAAAGAGGGAGAAGGGGAGGGAGGGAGGGAGGGACGGATGGACAGACGGACGGACGGACTAAGGGGAAGAGGGAAAAGATGAACGGACGAAGTGGGGGAGGAAGTGTGCACGACTTTGAGCGTGCGGGGGCAAAGGTCCTATCAAGGAACATGGCCTTCCTGTCAAACAGGAGCCCAGGAGGCTGGAGACGTGAGCTTGGCTGGCTGGATGCTTGCCTAGCAGGCGTGAGGCCCTGGGTTTGGCCTGCAAAAGTGCATACGTGGGGAATGGTGGCTCTCAGGAGCTGGAAGCAGGAGGATCAGAAGGTCAAGGTTATTCTTGTCCACACAGGAAGTTTGAAGTCAGCCTGAGATAGAGATCCTGTTTCAGAAAAGAAGACGGTTCAAAGAATCTTGAAAGCATGAGACTCGGGTTTTCCCGTCCTATGGTGATTTTCTTCAAGCGCAAGCTCAGCCCTGTGCATAGGCTGTCATGCAGGGTTGAAACCAAGAGCCCGTTTCACCAACTGGTACAAAGGTGTCTGCAAAAACATAGCTCTCAGCACTCAGGAGGCAGAGGCAGGCGGAACTCTGAGAGTTCGAGGCCAGCCTGGTCTACATGTGCGAGTTCCAGGACAGCCTCCAAAAGCCACAGAGAAACCCTGCTTCGAAAACAAAACAAAACAAAACAAACTAAAACAACAACAACAAAAAAACATAGCTCTCGTCTCAAAGGGAATTTGAGAACCAAAACTGAGTGGTGTGTCCTAGACGCACAGATCTGGGCTACCCAAAATACCATGTCCCAATGCGGTAACAAGTTATAGGATTTAAATTTTTTAAAATTTACTTGTTTATTCATTTGCTGTGTGGGTGTTTTGTCTGCATGGATGTCTGTGCACCATGTGCATGTCTGCTGTCTGTGGAGGCCAGAAGAGGGTGTCAGGTCCCCTGGAATGGGAGTTGCAGACCATTGTGAGTGGCCACGGTGTGGGTGCTGAGAATTGAACTCAGGACCTCTGGAGGAGTGGTCAGTGCTTTCAACCGCCGAGCCACCTCTCCACCCTCAAAGTGTGTGTTTTTATAGGAACAAAACAAAAAGAAACATTGGTGGCAATACGGGGGGGGGTGTTCCAGCAAATGGGGGGGAATCCATGTTATTGGCCTCAGCTGCTATCTGATGACGTTCTTGGGTTCCGGGTTAGTGGAAGGCAGGGCTCTGCTTGTGTATCCCAGCAGGGTTTCACTCGGTTGTGACGTCAAGCACGGAGGCTGGCGGTGGGTGTGACCCCCCCCCCCCCCCGGCACTTCAGTTCACACAGGTGAATTGTGCTGGATTACACAACTGCAAATGGTGCTCCCTCCTCCTCCCAAGCCCCAGGCGGACGGTGACAAAGCAATCTGTGCACACCGCAGGATTATGCTACGCTGTTCACCCAGTCCTGCACGCGGCGGCGGCAACCACTGGAAGCACCTGTTTGGGCCTGCGGCCCGTCCCTGCCCATCAAACCGACTTGACTTGCTTCTCCCTGCGGCCTCTGAGGGACTGAACCTGTGACGCGTTTGCTCTCCGTGGGATCTTCCGCCTGCCTCCTCAGATTCCAAGGTATATCCCTTGCCTCGTTTCATTCACACTAAACCTTATAAACCTACGGAGTTGCTCAAGGAGCCTCTGACTGCACAGCGGTGTCCGGCAGCAGATATCCTCCAAATCTTTATTCCCCCAGCAGATGGCTCCTCTGGCCCAGTGCCCTCTGGGTGGACACTTCCAAGTTCATAAACTGTCAGAAAAAGGCCCGGAGATCAGAACTGACCTCCCCACCCCCCGCCCTGCCCTCTGAGGGTTATGACCGGCTTTAAGGAGGCTGGTGCCTAAATTAGACATGCCACTTTCCTTACAAGGCCAACCCATTGTCTTCCTTTCCTAGGGGATTGAAACCCATGATCGTGAGTTCCTCAGAGAAGTGAAAGCGGCCTAGAGGGATCCAGAAATTCCTGTTAGCAGCAGGCTTTATAAGTCAGTGAGCAGGGAGCTGTCTTCATCCAGACGGAAAGCCACAGGAGTGCAAAGATGTCCCCGCGCCTGGCCCCCTTGCTGCTCTTTTCCCTTGTCCTCCATGGTGCCCTGACCCTGAGGCTCTGCTCCTTCAACGTGAGGTCCTTTGGAGACAGCAAGAAGGAGAACCGCAACGCCATGGATGTCATTGTGAAGGTGAGTCGTGCTCGTGTCCTGAACACCCCCTACGGCTTCTCCCCAGCGTCAGACTCAAGGGACTTGAAATTTGACCCCGGGGTGTGGTGGGGACAGCAGTAGCCACCATTGCAATGGCCGCCTCAGCTCTGGGTGCTTTCTGTCAGTCACGTCTTCAGACTGGGTGGTACTGTGCCTCACGGTACCGGGCAGGTAAACATGACACCTTTGCCAGCGTCTGGCTAGCGGTCAGATCCAGGTATGTGTTGTTGTCCTTATGGCTTTAATTAAGTATACTGAGTGCCTGTGTCAGGCACTCTTAGTATATGGTCTCATCTGTCAACCTTGCGAGCAAGGACTAGTGTCCCTCTTGTGGAGAAGATGGACTCAGAAGGGCGATGGGATGCCGGGCAGCTCCAGGGAGGGGTGTTGAGGGAACCGGTGTCTGTCTCATCTTTATAATCATCGGCAGAGCATGCTTTCTCTTCTTCCTTCCCTCCCCATCTCCATCCTGTCATCCCTTCACCCCCTCCCCCATCTATCTCCTCCCAACTCTCAATTCTGTACTTTCTCTGCTCGCGGATTTTGCTGTTCTTGGGTAATATGACCAATGTCTGGGGAAACTGCTTATGTTTCTCGGGAGTCAGTTGACTCTCTGTCCCATGGGCTGATTTGTTTCTGATGCTTTGACTCTGGAGGGATGGTTATTACTTAAACAAAAAACAGTGGGGTTAGGGTTGTAGACTTCAGTTGGTTTGTGAAGTCTAGAGTTCCATCCTCAGCATTGCATGAACCGGGCATGGTGTTGCCCACCTGTCATTTCAGCCGCTAGGGAGGCAGACGTAAGGGGATCAAAAGTTCAAGGTCATCCTCGGCTATAGAGCAAATTAAAGGTCAGCCTGATCTGCATGAGACCCTATCTTACACACACACACAAACACACACACCACAAACAAACAAAAGAGGCCCCTGTATGTGGTGAAAACACCAGCAGCTCTAGACACAGATCCCATCCATCACCCGAGGAGCTCAAGGTCTTTCATCTTCCTGGTGCTTCACATGGAATGGACGCTTCTGCTGAGGGGCTGGTAAGCCTGGTGAGTGAAGCCCGGCGGAAGCAAGAAGAGGCCGGTGTTTCACTACTGTCGGGCAGAGAGGAAACGAGCAGAAAAGTTCTGCTCTGCTCTTGCCAAGATAGCCCTGGGCCCTAGGTAACTCCGTCCTTTAGATGATAGCCAAGAACCTCTGGATATTATGGTTTTACCAGGACAGCTGTGCCAAGCCTGTGGGCATCCTGACAGCATGGCTTAATGGAGAAGTACGACATACAAGAAAGGTATTTCCCAACCTCTTCACATGTGGGCCCAGTGGAGCCTGGGGACCTAAGTTCCTGTCTATGCGCCTAACTTAATTTGTCCCTGGAAATGTTGCCACACTCTTGGAGGCTGGGTTTTTGTTTTCTGGTGATTCCATTTCTCCACACAGCTTTCCCACTGAGCTGTGAGTGTGCCTATACCTTTTGTCAAGACTTTATCCGGTTCTCATAAAGCCGTTCTGTAAACAGAAGCCAGCACCCCCAGACACCGTCAGAGCTATCTACCAGAGCAGTAGTGACTCACCCCCAAATACCTGCTGCTCCATCAGAATAGTTAGTAGGGATTGTATGGATCAAAGAGAAAGACACATTTGCTGCCGAAAGGATGCAAACAACCCAAGTAGGAAAACATTCAATTTAGCGATGCAGATGCACCATGAAAGGGGAATTACGTAACACTAGAAGTTGTGTTTTAGAAGAATATTACCATCATTTCTCATAAGGCCTATGCTGGTCAAGCTCCCTGTGTAATCAACGGTGACCTTGAACTTCTAACCCCCCCCCACTTCCTCAGTGCTGAGACTAAAGGCATGTGCTTTCATTCATGATTTATGCAGTGCTGAGGACTAAGCATAGGGCTTTGTGCATGCTAGTCAAAAATTCTACCAACTGAGTCAAGTCCCGTCTGCTGGTGTGGTTCCTTCACAACCCTCGTAGCCCCCTGTACATGGTTACTCCATGGCTCAGTGAGTGTTAGTTAGTAAGCTGAACACCAAGGGCGTGTGAGCAGTGTGCCACCCTACATTACAGACCCGCTTCCTGGCCGCCACACTCAATAGGTAAGGAGATCAGCAGGCCAAAGGCCAAGGTCCCTCTCTCGTGTGACCCACTGGCATAGTATAAGCCAGGGTTAGGATCCCTTCCCTGAGAGAACAGTCAGATTTCCTGTTGACATCCCTATTCCTTGCTTACCAAGCCCTCCAGAGCCTTGACTCTCCAGTCGATACTGATTTCCAGTTTCCTTGCTCTCTCTGAGATGTTTTCCTCAGACAAGAATCTGCAAGATCTTGTTGTCCCAATTCTCAAAAGGGCAGAGGATGAGGAAAAAAAAACATATTTCTTCTGTTTCCTAATCCTCAGGAAGAGACTCCCAGGCGGCTCTTCCAGAACCAAGCTCTGGACCCTCTAAACTTTCATCAGTGCCAAATTTTGCCTGCTCACAAAAGGGAGACACAGTCTAAGCGTGGTTATGCTATGCACTATACTGCCAAAACCTCTGAGAGCCAGAGTCTGTGGAGGGCTGTGAAGACAGATGTTTCTGTCCCACCTGGTCCTGCAGCTGTTTAGTCCCAAATAAACTCACAGAGGCTTATATGAATTATAAACTGTTTGGATGATGGTTCAGGCTTCTTATTGGTTGGCTGTTGGTGATAAAGGACGAGCCTAGAGAGATGCTTAAGGTAAGATGTTTGCTGACCCAAGCATGAGGGGCTGACTTTGATCTCCCAGAATACACATGAGAGGGCCAGGTGTTAATGGTGCAGGCTTGTCATCCCAGTGCCGAGGAGGCAGAGACAGTGGGGTTGCTGGGGTGTATTGTGCAGTCAGCCTAGCCTAGTCTTCAACCCGGGTCTCAATGAGAGACCTTGTCTCAAAAAAAAAAAAAACAAACAAAAACAAAACAAAACAAAACAAAAAAACAAGATGGAAGGCTCCTGAGGTTGACCTGCGGTCTCCATATGTCCTCACATACATAAGTATATCCACACCCACAGATACAGGTGCCCACCCCTACACACACACACACACACACACACTCACACACACTCACACACGGAATGCTGCCAGTGTGGTAATGAGTGAGACCGGGCCTGCAGTAGGCGCTCAACAACCACTGGGCCTTAAAGAATAACATAATCTACTATTGGCCACCTGCACAGCTGGCTCTGCCCTAAACTCTCACTCTGCCTTGCTACAGTTGTGAAGGATCAAATCGGGAAAACTGAATCAAAGGGCGCGCACGCCTGTTTGTCTTTGCGTTTTGAGACAGTGCCTCACTATGCAGCCCAGGCTGGCCTCAAACTCACGTAGGTCCGCCCGCCTCTGCCTCTTTGTGCTGGGATTAAAGGTGTGTGCCTTACACCCACTGCCTGTGTTCATTTTGAAGTTTCTTCTAGAAAGGTCTGGTTTGAGTCACAGCACAAGGCTCCCGGTGAGCCCTGTGTGGCCAATGCTGTGGGTTTCACCTAGAATCTAGGCTTTCTGGCCAGTCAGCCCTCAATCCCCAGCTCCTTAAAAGCTGGTCATGGGGCACCTGAACCCCCACCCCACTGCACATGTAGCTGGAGATGCTCTGTAAACAGAGGCCCAGTGGCACTCCATGACTTTGATGCTGTGTGCGAACAAACTAACCCGGGGATGCTTCATCGTCTATGGACACAGCCCGTGGCCCTGAGTCACCAGCATCCCATTACTCAGAGCCACGTGGTCCCTGAGGGGGTGTGAGCTCTTTCTGCTACCTGATCACAGCTGACGAAATCACTCGTATTTTTTCCTCCCACTGAATTATTTCTAAACTTTTCAGGGACCAAAGGCTCTCTCTTCCCAGGAGCCTTCCCTGGTCGTCTGGCAGAAGGAATCGAGTATCCCCCAACATGCCCAGCATGTCCATGTCTTGTCACTTTTATTCTGCGCAAATTCTACTTTTCCTCCGTTACTCCTACTTGCTTCCTTTAGACACCGCGTCTGAGTGACTGCATTTTAACAGCTGAGCATAGCGAAACCTACAGAACTGAGCTGGAATCCTGGCTTCCCCTCCTGTACTGGTTTCGTGACTTTAGAATAATTGCTAAACTACTCTGAGTTTAGGCTAGCATCTAGATTTAATATCCCTCTTTTAGCCTTGTGAAGTAGGTTCACAATAAATGTTAGCTCTTATGGTCATTATCACTGATATCTGTATATCTGTATCTGTTATATCTTCTGATATCTGTAATACCCAGCCCAGTACCTTTGCTCACTAAAGGCTTAACAGGTTTTTATACGATTGCCACTACAGTCACTGAATCCGAGCTGTGGGATGAGTGGTAGGTAGCGTCATGGTTAGGGTTCTGCTTGCTTGCTTGCATTTGGATGCCAGGGTGGCTATTTCTGCCTTCATGGTTGGGTGCTTGACCTTGTCTGATCTTCAGTGTCCTTATCCCTAAGATGGACATATCAACACACCTTTAATTCCAGCACTTTGGAGGCAGAGGCAGGCAGCTCTCTGACTTCCAGGCCAGCCGGGGCTATACAGTGAGACCTTGCCTCAGATAATAAAATTAATTTAAAACATTAAAACGGACAGGAAATAATTAAACAGTGGCAGCCAAACCTCTGGGCACACGATGCACCCCTGCAATCCTGGTTCCTCAGGTCTGAGGCAGGGGGACCGCCTCAGACCTGGAGTTGGGGACCGCCTCAGCCCTGGAGTTGAGTTGGAGACCGCCTCAGCCCTGGAGTTGGGGACCACCTCAGCCCTGGAGTTGAGTTGGGGACCCCCTCAGCCCTGGAGTTGGGGACCCCCTCAGCCCTGGAGTTGGGGGCTGCCTCAGCCCTGGAGTTGGGGGCTGCCTCAGCCCTGGAGTTGAGTTGGGGACCCCCTCAGCCCTGGAGTTGGGGGCTGCCTCAGCCCTGGAGTTGGGGACCCCCTCAGCCCTGGAGTTGGGGGCTGCCTCAGCCCTGGAGTTGGGGACCCCCTCAGCCCTGGAGTTGGGGACCGCCTCAGCCCTCGAGTTGAGTTGGGGGCCGCCTCAGCCCTGGAGTTGAGTTGGGGACCGCCTCAGCCCTGGAGTTGAGTTGGGGGCCGCCTCAGCCCTGGAGATCCCATCACAAACCAGCAGTGACCATTAACGTAACACAAAGGGACACAACTAGGGGCTGTTCTCAGGAAGTCAGTCCTTCTTTTAGTTCAGGAAGAGACTACGTTATCTTAGCAAGCACCTGGCTGAGGTGCCTGGAGCCCAGCGAGAGCTTGATTTACAGAAAACAGCCTCAAGCCCTGGAAATTCTCTCTGCAGATCATCAAGCGCTGTGACCTTATACTCCTGATGGAAATCAAGGACAGCAGCAACAACATCTGCCCCATGCTGATGGAGAAGCTGAATGGGTAAATGGGGGGAGGGGCGGGCCCCCGAGAGAGCTTCGGGTCACGTGCAAGGGCGCTTGACAAATGGCAGGGGAGTAGAAACCAGTGGGAAGGCTGGCATTTACTCTAGCCATCAGGCCGCGTGGCCAGGGCCCAGTAGGCTTCTGTCTTATCTACCGTGCTATGAACGTTCACCTGGCTGGTTTTAATATGGCAGGATGAAGACAGAGGAAAAGGTGAAGGGTTGGTACAGGAAAGAGAAAGGAGTTAGGTAAGAGATGGTCCCTAAGTCAGCCCCCTCCGTCCTTCCCAGCCGTCCGTAAGACTGACAAGTATTAATCAGGACCCAGATCCTTTAGGGGACAGGCAGAGGGAAAGATACGTGTAGGGACGTCTGCAGTAGGTTATTAGCAGATTTGACACATTGTCAGTCCGCTGCCCTCCGCCTCCCTGTGTGGTGTCACTCTACACCCCGGGAATACACTGCTGATTGTCTGAAATCAGCGCCAGAACTTTTGAGCCGGTCCCTGATGGCTTCAGAGGAGGGATGCTGAGGTTCTGGGGATGTCAGAAGTGGCACCAGGACAGATGACCTGAGAAACTCGACTCCAGCCAGGAAGCAGGCAATGGCTCAAGGTCAAAGCAGGGATTTCCTTATTGCTTTCCTTATTTTTTATTCCAATGTGTATGTGTGTGTCTGTGTGTCTCTGTGTGTGCATGTGCGTGTGTGTGTGTGTGTGTGTGTGTCTGTGTGTGTCTCTGCGTGCGTGCATGTGCATGCATGTGTGTCTCTGTGTGTGCATGTGCGTGCGTGCATGTGTGTGTCTGTGTGCACATGCGTGTGTGCCCTTGTGTTTGTGCGTGTCCATGTACACACCCATGTGCACATCTCACAACACGCCTGCAGAGGTCAAAGGACAATATGCAGGAGTCAGACCTCCCCTTCCTCCCCTTGGGTGCTAGAGACTAAACTCAAACTGTTAAGCTTGGCGGGCAGCACTTTTACCTGTTAGGCCATCCTGAAGCCTAAAAGCAGGGCTAGCTCATCTTGTCTGGGTCATCTCTGGTCCCTTTGATTCCCACAGAAACAGGCTGAAGCTTTCGGGGTCTGAAGTGAAAAGGTCTGGGTCAGATCCTAGCCTTATGCCATTAAATCACACAGTATGGGCTGGGCGGTAATCCCACCAGTCTGGAGCCAGAGGCAGGTGGTTCTCTATGAGGTCGAGGCCAGCCTGGTCTACAGATCAAGTTCCAGGACAGCCAGGGCTGCATAGAGAAACCCTGTCTTGGGACTGGAGAGATATTGTAGTGCTTAAAACCACTGACTGCTTTTCCAGAGGACTCAGGTTCAATTCCTAACACCTGTCTGAAATTCCAACTCCAGGGGATTTGACACTCATGGCAAAATACCAAGGCACATTTAAAAAAAAAAAGAGAGAGAGAGAAAGAAAAAGAAACCCTGTCTGAAAAGACTAAAAGGAAAAAGGAAGGAAGGAAGGAAGAAGGGAGGGAGGGAGGGAGGGAGGGAGGGAGGGAGGGAGGGAGGGAAGAAGCAAAGAGCAGATTGCTACTCTATACCAGCACTGGGGTGTGGGGCAGCTGAGGTACTCTAGCACTGAGGGTGTGGAGACAGGGGTGGAGGTTGGGATGAGGGGGGGCAGATGCAGCAGAGGCATGTTTATTTTTCACAACACACTAAAATTTGTTTTCTAGAAATTCACGGAGAAGCACAACATACAACTATGTGATTAGTTCTCGACTTGGAAGAAACACGTACAAAGAACAATATGCCTTCCTCTATAAGTGAGTTTGATCTGTCTGAATTGAATCCAAATATGTGTACTGTATTTTCCTTTAAAATATATTCTGGCCGGGCAGTCATGTTGGAAGGCAGAGGCAGGTGGATCTCTGAGTTCAAGGCCAGTCTGGTCTACAGAGCGAGTTCCAGGACTGCTAGGGCTGTTACCATAGAGAAACAAACACTATCTCAAAAAAAAAGCCCAAAAAATAAATAAACAAAATACAAATGGACTCTGGGCCTGGCACGGCAGAATACACCTTTGATCCCAGCACTTGGAAGGCAGAGACAGGTACATCTCTGTGAGTTGTTGAGCAGCCTGGTCTACATAGTTCCGGGCTACTGAGAGTTACAAGGTGAGACCCTGTCTCAAATAAAACGAAAACATTAGGTTGTGGTCTCTAAGCAGTTGCCATTACTGGTCAGAATCTTTGCTGTCAAGCTCACGTGCTGGGGCTGGAGCTTAGTTGGTGGAGTGCTCGCCTGCCTAGCACGTGCAAAGCCTGGTTCCCTTCCTAGCACTGTGGCAGCACGGGCCTTTCAACTCAGCTGGAAGACGGAGGTAAGAGGATCTGGACTCCAGGAAACACAGCGAGCTCAAAGTGAGCCTGAGCTATTTGAGATGAGACCCTGTCTCAAACACCTAAAACCTCCACAAGAAAACGATCCAATCATTAACTAGAAAACACAGCAGCTTTGTGACAACTAACGACTGCCCAGGTCAGGAGTTCTTTCCACAAGCAAGTCTAACGTATTGGGTGAAAACCTGGAGATTTAAATGAAAGACAAGATGTCCGGCCACTTGTGCTAAGAGAATGCCTGTGTGTCTCTCTCTATCGCAAGGAGGGAGCAGCCTTGTATACAGACTTACAGCACAGTGGAGAAACCCCAGGTGTGAGAGTTTGAGTTTTCATAATTAGAGGTTGATGCCAGCGGGGGCAAGGCCGGGGCTGTGAACCAGCACTAGAAAACAGGATGCGCCTGTGGTTATTGGCTGACAAGCACCTCACAGAGACCCCGTGGGGGTTGGGGCCCAACACTTTTTCCTTCGTTGGGAGGTCCTGGCCCAGCGTATCCGACATGGAACAGGGGACTCTCACTGGTCCCTCCTGTCAGTTTGAAGATTCACCTGATGTGCCCAGACAGCAAGTATAACTCAGACCCTCAATTCGCTGAGAAGAGCTGATTCTGTCCTTAGGGGAAAGACCCTCCCAAGCTTGAGCCTGCTCCAGAAGCTACAGAAGTCACAACCAGAGGACTCAGGAAAAATTCTTGTTTTGTTTTGTTTCCTCTTCTAGGGAAAAGCTGGTATCTGTGAAGGCAAAATACCTCTACCACGACTATCAGGACGGAGACACCGACGTATTTTCCAGGGAGCCCTTTGTGGTTTGGTTCCAGTCACCCTTCACTGGTGAGAACATGACTCTGTATTAGTTACTCCTGCGGGTGCTGTGACCAAATCCCTGACACAACAGCTCGGAGGAAGACAGATTTATGTATGTCTTAGAGGGTCAGCTGGGGCTTTGTGGATTCGGAGGCTGTGGTAAGGCAGAAGATCTTGTCAGGGAGAACGTACGTCACGGGGCTTCCTCACCTCATGGGTGGACAGGTGTGGCAAAGGCACCGGGACCCAGGGGTAACCTCCAAAGTCACCCCCCAGTGACCCACTTCCGGTATCGAAGCCCCATGCCTTAAAGTGTTCACAACCCTCCCCAAAGTACAGCTGCCAGCTAGGGACCAGGCATTCAACACGCGGACCTACGGGGACACTTTAAACTTAAACCACAACAGCTTGTCTGGCGACCTCTCCAGCAGCCCATGAAGGGACACAGCCCTGAGCATGTGTGAGATGCACATGCCTTGTCTTATGGGGTGGCTGAGGTGAGAGTTAAAACTTGAGAAAAGAAGCTGGTCTGATGCTACCAGGCTCGCTTTTCAGAGTGCCAAGATGTGGGGCATCCTGGTCTGGACGCCGCTTTTAGGGTCATTGATTACCCCGTCCTCCACAGGTGGCCAGATGCACTCTGACCCCCAACAACACTGCTACCGGCCCATGATTAACGGCCAGTTTCCTGCCATCCTCCCAAGCACTGCAGTCTAGGGACTAGGACGCTCCCCTCACCACATCTGGGAAACTGGGATTGTTAAAGGCATTATCTTGTGCCCAAGTCCGGCTATTAAAATAGACAAGCCAGAGCTGTAAGTCAAGTCACAAGTCCCAGTCACCACTGAAGGCAGCAGAATGTCGAACATGCACCAGGTGTGGTGGTCACGCCTGTGATTTCAGCACTCGGGAGAGAGAGGATCGGCAGCTCAAGGCCAGCCTGAGCTATCTCGTGAGACCCTGTCTCACAATACCAAGGGCCAGAAGCGGAGTTCAGTGAAAGAGCTCGTGCCTAGCATCTCAAGGTTCTGGATCCGATCTTCTGCATTGAAAGAAAAGAAATAAAAAGAATCAAGAAGGATCCAGGTAGAGAATGAGGGGTGCCCCAGCAGAAGAGCCTTACTTAGACCCCAGCTCCTGCAGATAGAGAGCAGGGTGTGGTTCCCAGTCCACCGAGGAAGCACACTCAGGAGCACGCTCTGTCTCTCTCTCTCTCTCTCTGTTGTTTTGTGGTTTTGCTATGTAGCCCCGGTTAATCCTCAATTTACAATCTTCCTGCTTCCAGTTTTCTAGAGCTGGGATTAGAGAAATATACCATCACACCCTGATCATCATCTCCTTGTCGGTTTAGTTTTGAGATAGGGTCTCACACAGCCCAGTCTGGCCTTGAACTCTTGACCCTCTGCCTCTGAGTGATGAAATTGCAGGCCTAGGCAACCACACCTTGTTTTTTTTTGTTTTTTGGTTTTTTACGAGACAGGGTTTCTCTGTATTGTTTTGGAGGCTTTCGGTCCAGCCTGGCCTGAAACTCACAGAGCCACACCTTGTTTTATGAGATGCTTCGGATCTAACCCACGTGCAGGTGCCCAAGGAGCCCAAAGAAGTGTTGGATTCCCCCTAGAACTGCAGTTATACAGAGCTGTGAGCCACCCAACATGGGTGCTGGAAAACAAACTCCAATCCTTTGCCAGAACAATACACGCTCTTAACCACTGAGTCATCTCTCCAACATCTCCATCCTTTGTTGTCTTTCCAGACGGGGCGTCACACACAGGCTGGCCTTAAGCTTACAGATGCAGCTTGCCTCCGCCTCCCAAGTGCTGGCATTAAAGCTTCGCACCCCCACGCCCTGCTTTCCAGTTTTTTTTTTTTTGATAGTTTTGTTTTGTTGCTTTTCTTCTTGCTTGCAGAAGGGTTACAAACTTGCCAGCTTCCATTTTTTTTCCTTTTCCTTTTAGTACAAAAGCTAAACATTGTTACCAGAGTCCTTTGATCAGAGGCCCGGCTCCAGGTCTGCCCCCCCCCACCCTGAGAGTGCAGGGCGAGAGGGTGGGGGTGAAACAGGAAGGAATTTGACTGCCAGTGTGGCAAGCCCTGGAGAGCAGGCGAGTGTCCTGCCTTGGGAGATTCTGGCAAGAGGAAAGAAGAAAAGCAAGGACGGATAGAATTGGGCATGGGTCCTCGGTCCTGGTCATGATGTCCCCCTGGAGGACGCTTGCTGCCTGGGATTACAGCCTAGGTGTCTGTCAGGGTTTGGTCTGCCCTGCAAGGCTCACTGTTTCTGGAGTGCTGAAAGCATCTCTGTCTTCAGTCTTGGGGCATGACAGACTTGGCAGCCTGTGACCCCCCAGAGTTTAAGGTAGATGCAGAGAAAATGCAGAGACGCCACACGTTCACGCTGCCTCAAGCCCGGCCTTGAACATCTGCAGCCCCGGAAGAAGCCAATAAGGCCCTGTTACAAGGATCCTCTGTTCATTTTTGTCATTTTTGAGGCGTTCTCTGGTATCTGAGGCTGGCCTCGGAATCTCCATCCTCCTGCCTCAGCTACCCAAGTCCCCTGTTACAGGTGTGTGTCATCCCACCTGCCTGGGTCTATCACCCTCAGGAAGGATGACATAGCCAAGAAACACAAACAGTTTTTTAGTACTCCCAATAAACCAAGAGGAAAACGAAGATTTGAAAAAGAAAGGAAGGGCGAGTGAGATTCCCCAGAACCCACAGAGAAGGAGTTTTATGTCACAGAGACAGGAGGGGGTGTAGGGTGGGAGGGTGTTAAAAAATTAGAAGGGAAAGGAAGGAGAGAGAGAAAGCCCACAGTGCCAGGAAGGACCGTGTTCAGCAGCTTCCCTGTCAGCTGGAGGGAGCACAGGTCGGAGAAAAGAGTATTTATGTCCTGAAAACAAGCAGCCTGGTGACCCCAAGGGCACCGGGAACTCAGCCACTGCCCCCAGCCCTCGGTCACGCCCTCACCAGGCAGCAGTGCCTCTCATAAGGGCCTTCCTTAGGCAGTGCTGGGGGTGGTCCTTGATGGGGAAACCGCCACCTCCTGCTTGTTATCCCTCAGCTGTCAAGGACTTCGTGATCGTCCCCCTGCACACAACCCCCGAGACATCCGTTAAAGAGATAGACGAGCTGGCTGATGTCTACACGGACGTGAGGCAGCGGTGGAAAGCCGAGGTAGGTGAGGGCCTCTGCACCCGGCCCATCTCCATCAAGCGGGGGGGGGCAGGGAAGGGCTGAGGGGACAGAGTCCGTACAAGCCACTGCTGATGCCCAGCCTCGTCTCCAGCTTCTCCTCAGCCCCGAGCATCCTTCTTGCTCATCCTGCCTGGGCCTGTCCCTGTGGGTCTTGGGAATCAGTGCTCTGATATATTTAAAATGGACACCAGTGTTACTAACTGTTTGGTACCAAGGCCTGGACACTGTGCTGAGACTGCACAGGAACCAAGTGGATTTCATCCTCTCAATAATCCCACCAGGGGCTTGGGAGACGGCTCAGTTGATAGAGTGCTTGCCCTTCGAGCAGGGGGACCCGAGTTCAATCCCCAGAAACCTTAAAACCTAACAACAACACACACATACACACACACACACACACACACACACACAGAGAGAGAGAGAGAGAGAGAGAGAGAGAGAGAGAGAGAGAGAGAGAGAGAGGAGAACTGGATGAGCATGCTGGTGAAAATTTGCAGTCCCCGTGTGGAAGGCAGAGGGCAGAGAGGCAGCAAGTCTGTGGAACTCATTGCTAGCTAGTTTAGCCTCCTTGGTAAGTTCCAGGCCAGTGAGAGACCCAATTACACAAAAAAGAAAGCAGCAGCTAAGGACAGTACCCCAGGGCATACTCGGGCCTCTACAAACAAGCACACGTGTGCCTGCACTGTGCACACACTAAGTAATCCCACAAGCACACACACGTGCACCTGCGCACTGTGCACACTCACCGCACACACTAAGTAATCCCACAAGCACACACACACCGCACACACTAAGTAATCCCACAAGCACACACACATGTGCACCTGCACTGTGCACACTCACCACACACACTAACAAACCCCACAAGCACACACGTGTACCTGCGCACTGTGCACCAGCTACACAAGGTTGTTAGTCAGCCCCAGTTTACAGCCGAGGCCAGTGAGGCAGGGGAGGTCAGGAGCGTCTCAGAGGCAAGGGGCAAGACCGTGAAAAGAAGGGGCAACTGTGGGGTTCGGGTCTCAAGACAGCCGTCATCTCTCATTCGGAAGACGGGGACGCGGCCATCTGTGGCTCTGCGGGTTTGAGGAAGCACCCAGTCAATGCGGAAGTGTTCAGAGGGCCCTCCTACCAAATTCCTCTTTTTCCCTTTCGGAATGTGGTGCTGAGAGCCCCTCTGTCCCCTCAGTTCCCCACCCGAGGTGCAAAACAAGTAAGCATGGACACGTAAGCTGGCCAGAAGAAGGTCAGGGGTGCATTTCCAGGGCAAACGAGGAAACCCACATCCAGCAAGAGCATACTGACTGTCTTGGGAAGGACCCTTGAATGACGGACCTTCAGGGGGACAGACGGAGGTTTGTCCCTGGGCTATCTGGCTTAAGCCTCCCTGCTGTGGCCTAGTCCACTTGATCCCCGCTGGAATTGAGCCTGGTAAATCACCTCAGGCAGGCTGGGGCACATAGGTTAGACACAGCACCTTAACCTCGAGGGAAGCCCCAGTTGCAGAGATCAAAATGAAATGCTCCTTAAGGAAAACCCTCAAGTCAGCAGTCAATCCAAACAAGGAAGTGAGCTGTTTCCTCGTATTGCACAAAGTTAAAGTCACCTTCCCACAGTCGGTGGGGTGGGAGGGAGGGAGGGAGGGCGCTTCCAAACCTCGCTGGAACAGGGTTGAAGAAGGGCAGGCCACTCTTTCGGAATTTCCCTCTCTTAAGGATTGAGTTTTGTTAGGGAGTAGTTTCTGACCTCAAACCATACAATAGGAGACAGAGGGCTACCAAAGCAGCCGTCACCACACCACCCAAGTTATTTTTGCTGTGATTTGCAGCCGAAGGGGGGGGCTTGGAGGCTCCAATGGTGGGTGGGAGACAAATAGACCATCAGGAAGAACTTACATGGGAAGGGAAGGGAGAGAGGGAAGACAGAAGGAAGAACGAGAGAGAGAGAGAGAGAGAGAGAGAGAGAGAGAGAGAGAGAGAGAGAGAGAAAGTAGAGAGAGAGAGAGACTAGAGAGAGGGACCTGCCTCATCAGTGAAACGGCAGAAAGAGAGAGAAAGTAGGTGGAGCTTGTCTCTTCAAGAGGCCTTTTGTGCCTGTGTACAGAGGTGGGTTGTGTGTGTGTGTTTGTGTGGTGTGTGTGTGTATATAGTGTGTGTGTGTATGTGTGTGTGCACGCGTGTGTGTCTGCCAGATCCCCAAGGGGCAGGTCCAGGCTTACCTGGATGATAACAATTTTGCCTCTTGGGAACTGGGGTGTGTATTCACTCACGTCTGCTGCAGTATTTATGCGAGGGAATATCTTAGTTGGATCCCAGCGTCCTTGCCTGCGTGTGCACAACAGATCGCAGAGATAGGGTGACTAGGAACAGGATGGCAGGGTGGAGCGAGCATCCTCTCTCCCACTCCTATTTCTCACTGCCAGATCCCTGTCAAAACTCTGACTCAACCTGGAACCTGTTTCCTCCGGTCTCAGAAAGGAAACAAAGATGGAAACTCTGTGGAGTTCGCTAGTGGCATGGCAACGCAGCCGGAGCCAGCTTCTGGAAGCTTCTCCGAGCTCTGGAGGCTGCAGGGCCAAGGCCAGTGTGCGGGAGCCAGGTTGCTCCTTCTGGGACCTCTGTCCTCAGCCTAGAGATGCTCATCTCCTGACGGCTCTATGTTGTCTTTCTCCCGTGCGTTTCTGCGTCCTAACCCCCATTTCACCTATTTAAATTCATTCATTCATTATTGTCATGCTGGTTAAATTCATTCATTCATTATTGTCACGCTGGGGACCAAAGCCAGGACACCCGACTTGCTTGCGCTTACCATTAAGCAAATCCCCAGTCCTGCCCCTGTATAAGGGGTCCCCCATCTGGCCTCATTTTTTTTTAACCTTAATTACACTTTTAAAGTCCCATTGGATGTGGTAGCACAGAGATCAGGAGGTGGGGTACTAGAGAATCAGGAGTCTAAGGCCACCCTGGGCTACATAGCTGGCCTAAGTTACATGAAACTACATTAGTAGTCACATTCTAGTGTAACTGGGGCCAGGAGTTACAATTAGGAGAGGTCGGTCAGTTAAATGGCTCAGTGTGTAAAAGAATTTGCTGTGCAAGCCTCCTGGCCCAAGTTATGTCCCTGGAATCCACAGCAGAAGAACAAAAGAGAACCAACTCCTGCAAGTTGTCCTCTGACCTAGACACACACACACCCCACATACACACACACCTGACATACAGACACACACCACATACAACAATAATAATAAATTTAAAACAAAATATATTGGGAGGGGTCCCACCCAGGTCATGAAAGACATCTTTGTAGCTGGGTGGTGGCGGTTCACACACACACATACCTTTAATTCTAGAACTTGGGAGGCAGAGGCAGGCAGATTTCTCAGTCCAAGGCCAGCCTGGTCTACAGAGAGAGAGAGAGAGAGAGAGAGAGAGAGAGAGAGAGAGAGAGAGAGAGAGAGAGAGAGAGAGAGAGAGAGTTTCAGGACAGGTAGGGCTACACAGAGAAACCCTGTCTCGAGAACCCAATAATACAACACAACACAAACAAAAAGACCTCTTCGCTCACCGGGCACGGAAGGTGGGATTCTTGCCTCTGGTTGAGAATGAAGGCCTGTAATCCCGTGCTTGCTAATGGTGGCTCTAAAACATGCCTTTCAGAATTTCATCTTCATGGGTGATTTCAACGCTGGCTGCAGCTATGTCCCCAAGAAGGCCTGGCAGAACATCCGTCTGAGGACGGACCCCCAGTTCGTCTGGCTGATTGAGGACAAAGAGGACACCACAGTCAAGAGCAGCACCAACTGTGCCTATGACAGGTAGGAGAGCCTCTGCAGAGGCTGCTGGCCCTGCTGTACCAGGGCCCCTTCAACTGAAGAAACAATCGGTTCCGTTTCAGGACTGGGGGCGATATAAGCAATTCGCCCCACCCCAAGTCCCAAGAAAGTCCACTCCAGGAAACTCATGAGTTCATTGGGTTTCCTTAAAGATCATAGGTGGGGGTTCACTTACTGGAGTGTGGGTGCCACCCTGTCAAAAGACCACCCCAGAGAGTCTTTACTCAGCAGAGATTGTGACTTTTCCATAGCTGCATAGGTAAAGCCTGGACCCCCTAGTCTTGCAAGGCTGGTCCACTCTCTCCCTCCCTGTGGCCATGGGCGGCTGGGGATGAGTTGCATACGGCAAGTGGTGGGGAGGGGCTGGGTTCACAGGAAAGGGTCTTGTGACCCTCCCCACCCTCCTACACCAGGATGTAAACAGTCGGTAAACCCAGCTGGGATGGCCAAGTGGGCACAGCTGACTGACTGCCCTTAGTGGTGGAGGTTTGGCTTGGCGGGCAGCCGTGTACAAAGATCCTCTGGTCCCATAGGTAGTGTGTGCAACCACGTGGTCTTGCACCGCGGTACTGGGGCTTAGCAGTGGCCAGCATTGACTTTGATGCCAGATGGGCCTGAATTCAAGTCCTGAGTCTACTGAGTGTTGTGACTGAGACTTACACTCTTTGGTTGACGCTCTCACTAGTAAGCTGCAGGTTGGGTACTAATAGTACCTTAGGCCACGGCTGGCAGTGCACGCCTTCAATTCCAACACTCAGGAGGCAGAAGCTGGTGGATCCCTGTGAGTCTGAGGTCAGCTTGGTCTACAGAGCGAGTTCTAGTACAGCCAGGACTAATACACAGAGAAACCCTGTCTCAAAACAAAACAAAACAAAACAAATAGTACCTCGGTTGTGGAGATGTAATAAGGATTAAATGGAATAACACATGAAACTTTCAACGCACAAGTGCTAAATACTTTTGCGTGCTCTTAGATGACACCTAGAACATCCAGGTAGGTATGGCCACATATAATTCCTGTGCTGTCACCAATTTTATCCCAAACATATACCATAGCTGGTCACCCCACCACCATCCCTGGCCACTCAGTTGTTTCTAAGGCCTTGCTGTTACAAGTACTGCTGAAATGGACAGCATACCCGTATATTTCGAGCAAATGCTATCGGGTGCTATCTGATGCTATTTCGAGATATTGGGTGCTATCTGATAAGTCAAAGTAGGCTCAGCAGGTAAAGGCGCCTGCCACACAAGCATGGTGAATCCAGTTTGGTTCCCAGAGCACACGTGCACTCCTACAGGCTGGAAGGAGAGATCCGACTCCACACAGCTGCCCTCTGAAGTCACGTTTGCAGTAGCACGCCCCCTAGTGGATAAATGGCTTTAATTTACAAGGAGAGTATTTCATGCAACAATATTTATACTTTGATTTGATTTTTTCTTTCTTTCTTTTGGTTTTTTTGAGACAGGCTTTCTCTGTGTAACAGCCCTAGCTGTCCTAGAACTCCCTCTGTAGACCAGGCTGGCCATAAACTCACAGAGATCCACCTGCCTCTGCCTCCCCAGCGCTGGGATTAAAGGTCACCACTGCCCAGCTTTTGATTTGGTCACTAAGACAGTGTTTTGTTGCATAGCCCAGGTTGGCTTCAGGTTCATTATTCAGCCCAGGATAACCCTGACCTCTTCTTGGTCTTCCTGAGCCCCTGTACCCGAACTGAATACTTTTTAAAGCATCGCTACCCTCAAATGCAGACGCACATGCTTTAATAACGACAGCTGTTGTGCATTTAAACTTAGCCTGGAGCTTTTCCTTTTTTAATTTTTATTTTACGTGCATCGGTGTTTTGCCTGCATGTATAGAGGGTGTCAGATCTTGGAGTTCCAGACAGTTGTGAGAGCTGCCACGTGGGTGCTGGGAATTGAACTCGGGTCCTCTGGAAGAGAGAAGTCAGTGCTCTTACCTGCTGAGACACCCTCCATTCCCATCCCTGGGATTTCTTTCAAACACTGTCAGCTCTGTTCTCTTAGTCAGAAGGGCAGTGCGGGTGCCTGAAGTGTGTGGAAATCAGGGACTATCCCCAGCAGAAACTGCAGGCAACAATCGGGAAAGCTCAGTCCCAGGTGCCTGCCGTTCCCACCCTGCCATTAAGGAGGGAGCGCATCAGCCTGGTGAGCTCACGTCTTAGGCCTTGGGGTTTGGCTCATATACCCAGCTTGTGGTCGCCCTGGTTCCTCTTGGGACTTCTGTGGCTGTGGTTTCCCTTTTGACTGTTAGGGCTCCAGCCCTCGGAAGTGGGAGCCAGGGTGAGCAGTTACAGCCTCTCGAACATCCAGGCCTCTCTTCCCAGTGTCAACCGTCTTCAGCCAAGCAGGAAGATGGCACCGGCTTACTCAGCCATGCCAGCCGTAGGACCCCCCGGCAGATCAAACCCAGAAACCAAACTGCCACTCAGAAGGGGAAAAGCTCAGGGCAGAGTCACAGAAGGCAGTTTGTCCCACTTTCCACAAATCAGGCAGGGCGCTAAGACCACAAAGACCTGCCTGTTTCACTTCCAGCGCCATAAGCTAGAGTCTTCTTCCTTTTCTTAATATTACGAGTGTGGGGGGGGGGAGGGGGAGGGCAGTTGGCGAGTGCAAGTGAGAATGTGAGTGAGTATGTGCCAGGAGACCAGAGGTCTGTGTCTGTCTTATTGCCTTGAGATAGGTTTCTTACTGAACTTGCTTTGTTTTCTTCAGCGTAGGTCACTGGTTACAGCCTATTATCAAAGGGAGCCAAGCTGGGAACTTGAAGCAGGAACTGAAGCAGAGGCGATAAAGGGTCACTGCTGCCTGGCCTGATCCCTCTGTTACTCAGCTACTTCTCTCTTCCATTTGTTTATTTTCTTTTATTGAAAGGAATTTTTTGCATGCAATATATTCTGATTATGGTTTCTTCTACCCCTCTCCTCTCAATTTCTCCTTACTGCCCCTCCTGTCCAGAAAAGTAAGCAGGCTTCTAAAGAACAATAATAAAATACAATAGGATAAAACAAAAAAAAAATAAGCAGATCATAATAAGTCAAAACAACCAGAAAGCCAAAGAAAAAGCACAAGAAACATACGGTACTTATGTGTATAAATACATAGGAATCCCATAAAACCCCCAAACCAGAAGCAATAATACACACACACACACACACTACACAAAGGAGCTGTGAGATAAAGAAAAAAAATGTCCTGACTTAATGTTATGACACAAAAACTCTCCAAAGATGCCATTAAGTTCGTTTTATATTGGCCATCTGCTGCTGGACACCGGGCCTTCCCTTAAGAGTTGTTTGTTTCCTCAGTAAGAACATGTGGAGAAAACTAAATTTTCATCTGCAAGTGGCTCTCGATTGGAGATAGCTTCCAGGTCAGGGATTCGGGCCTTTTACTACATCTCCTTTCAGCTCACCCCATCTGGTACAGATGCTGCTAGTCTCTGAGTTCATACGTGTGACAGCCCTGCTGTACCCAGAAGGCCTTGATTCCTTGGTGTCCTCCATGCCCTTCGGCTCCTACACTCTTCCTGCCTCCTTTTCTGCAGAGTTCCCTGAGCCCCGAGAGGAGGGATTTGATGCAAGGCTCCCCCTTTAGGGATTTTCCAAGACACTCTCCTCTCTCTGCGCGTTGCCCCGCTGTGGGTCTCTGTGTTCTGAGTATAGCAGAATGGCATCAGGAATCACTTCGTTGGTGTGTTCCTGTAGCAGAATGGTAGTGTTTGATTCTTCCCCAGGCCCTTGGCCTATCCAATCCTCAGGTTCTTGGTCTCCAGGGCGGTTTGGGGTTAGGAGGCCTTAACTCAAATATGACTTCGGTTGGTGACTCTCACAAGCTTTGTGTCACCCCTGCTGCAGCAGTGTCTTGCAGGCGGGAGGCTCTTGTGGATTGAGAGTTTGCAGGTGGGTTGGCGTTTACCTTCCTCCTTTGGTAGCATGCGGAGTACTTCCTGGTGCCGTGGACGCTAATCTGTAGAGGGGAAGGCTCTAGGCAGCACCAACTTCACTTTCCTGTGGTCAGTGATTGCGTAGGTAGGTGCTGTCTTCAGCAATAAGGCCTGTTGGTTTGTGGAGAGCCTTGGCAGTAGCCTGGGCTGTCTGGAGGTTCCTATGGAACCCCTTTGGCTAACAGCTTCACTGGGTGTTACCCACCTGCGCTACTTGAAACTTCATTTGGTGATAAGAGCTGTCCAATTGGGTCTCCATCTCCCCTATTATTTGTCAATTCAATTTAGTACCTTCACATATGCGTATATTATAGGAAGCTTCTACTGTATTAGGTTTCCATAAGATGCCCCCAATGGACCCTAGTTGTGGCTGTCCGTCCTGCATTCCCCCCTTTTCCTTTCCTCCCTTCCTCTTCCTGTTTGATCCTCTCATTTCAATCCCCCACCTCATCCACCCACAACTGTGTCTATTCTATTCCCCTTTTCTAGGGGAATCCATCTCCCCTCCTCCCAAGTCCCTTACTCTCTACATAACGTCTGTGGTTATACAGATTGTAGTCTGCTTATCAGTGACTTAACACCTAACTAACACCCACGTACAAGTGAATATATAACTGTGTTTGTCTTTCTGAGTCTGTGTGACCTCACTCAAGATTATTTTTTTCCTAGTTCCATCTGTTTACCTGCAAATTTCTTTATCTTCCTTCCTTCCTTCCTTCCTTTCTCTCTTTCTTTTTTTGAGACAGGGTTTCTCTGTCTAGCCTTGGCTGTCCTGGAACTCACTCTATAGACCAGGCTGGCCTCTAACTCAATGGTTTTCAAGTGCTGGGATTAAAGGTATGCACCACCATCACCGATTAGCAAATGCACCACATTTTCTTTATCCGCTCGACCGCTGATGGGCATCTAGATTGTTTCCAGTTTCTGGCTATTATGAATGTGGTTGACAGATGAAGCGTTTTTTGGGTAGATGCCCAAGCGTGAAACAGCTGGATCTTGAGGTAGATCAACTCCCGTCTTTCTGATGAACCACCTCACTGATTTACAAAGTGGCTGCACAAGTCTGCATTCCCACCAGTAATGAAGGAGTGTTTCCCTTACTCCACATCCTTGCCAGCACGAGCTGCCATGTGTGTTACTGTTTTTAGCCATCCGGATAGGTGTAAAACGTAATCTCAAAGTAGTTCTGATTTGCGTTTCCCTAATGGCTAAGGATGCTGAACGTTTAAATGTTTGCCAGTTATTTGTTTCCTCTTTTGAGAATTCTGTTTCAATATGTACCCCGCCTTTTAAACTTGGTTCTTTGTTTTGTTGATGTTCACATCCTGAGTTCTTTATATATTTTGGATTAGCTCTTTATTGGATATATAGTTGATAGGTAGCCCCTTTGCCTTAAAGACTCTCCTCAGTTTCATGAGGTCCCGTTTATTAGCTGTTGATCTTAGTGCCTGTGCTAATGTTGTTCTGCTCAGAAAGTCGTCTCCTGTGCCAATGAGTTCAAGACGATTACCCCATTTCCTCTTCTATCACATCCAGTGTGTCTGGTTTTACATGGAGGTCTCTGATCTATTTGGAGATGGATTTTGTGCAGGTTGATAATGTGTGGATCTGTTGATGTTCCTCTACACACAGCGTCCAATTTCACCAGCACCACTCTTGAAATGCTGCCATTTTTCTAGTGTGTGTTTATGGCTTCTCTATCAAAAATCAAGTATCCGTGGGTATGTGGACCTACTTATGGGTCTCCATCTCTATTTTATAGCTCAGCAAGTCTATTTTTATGCCAATACCATGCTGGTTTCATTACTACAGCTCTGCAGAACAGTTTATAGCGGGGATGGTGGTACCCCCAGCAGTCCTTGAATCGTTAATTAGTGTCTTACCAGCCACTTTTGATAAACAAAACTGAACTACCGCCGCTCAGACCCACCTGCCTAGGGATGGTACCAGCCACAGTGGACTAGGTTAGATCCTCCTATATCGACTAACAGTCAGAAGAATGCTCCCACAGACATGCCCACAGGCCAGCCTGACGGAGGAAATTCCTCACTCGAGGTCCCTTCCTCCTCGGTATTTCTAGGTTGGTGACAAGTTTACAAAAGCTGACCAGTAGCAGGTGCCAAACTAAACCAAGCTGTGGGCATGGAGCCCCCGCTGCACGGAAGGGCCAGGCTGCTCAACCGATTCCAGAGCGAACCCAGACCTCCCTTCGATCTCGGAAGTCTACAGCTTGGGCTAATTAGTGCACCTGTCCTCCTTGTCCTCACCCTAGGATTGTGCTTCGAGGACAAGAGATAGTGAACTCAGTGGTCCCCCGTTCAAATGGCATCTTTGACTTCCAGAAAGCTTATAAGTTATCGGAACAGGAGGTAAGTTACCACCTTGTCTTTCTAATTCGCCGGCCTGGGAGAGTGGGTAGTGGGTCTTAAGATCTGCAATTCAGTGATTTGGAGACCTGCCAAAGTCTCCCGGGAGCAGCACCAAGAGAAACACTCGTCAGTTGCAGCTGATGACCTCAGACATTTTGCCTTCCCTCCCTACTTCTGAAGTGTGTCATTGCCCAAGCCACGGTATGTCCCAGGTGTCCCTTCACCTCCAAATCTACTTCTCTCTCCTCCATATAGGCCCTTGATGTCAGCGACCACTTTCCGGTTGAGTTTAAGCTACAGGCTTCAAGGGCCTTCACCAACAACAGAAAATCCGTCGCTCTAAAGAAGAGAAAAAAAGGGAATCGCTCCTAAGTACCGTGGTGCCATTTTGTTAACGCCACCCCTTGCCTCCAAATAAAATGGCTGTCACAGGTCTAAACTGTCTGCACACTCAGGAATTAAGAATGGCCCAGCTGATTTCATTACCGACTTGAGTTCATTCCACCTGGAGCCAAGTTTGGAGAAAAGTCTTCTGTTACACCTCTTTGACCCCAAACCATCACTGGGACCTGCCACTAGTTAGATAACAGGACAAACGTCAGCTGTCAGTCCTAGCTGCCGGTGCTCACAAGGGACTCTGGTTTCCCAGAAATGAGCAGAAATGCCAAGACCTCATGACATAGGCAATCAAACTCTGCCTCATCCTGCTGGAGCTGGGCAACTTAGACGTCTATCAGAGATGGAGAATGCGGGCCACTCGCACTGCGAGGTTCTACCTCTATTGTCCTAACTCAGTCATGACCTCCAGTGTCATCCTTTGTTTTCAATCCACCCCTACCCACAATCTACCCCTACCCACAATCCACCTCTAGCCACATCCCACCCCTACCCACAATCCACCCCTACCCACAATCCACCTCTAGCCACATCCCACCCCTACCCACAATCCATCCCTACCCACAATCCACCCCTACCCACAATCCACCTCTAGCCACATCCCACCCCTACCCACAATCCATCCCTACCCACAATCCACCCCTACCCACAATCCACTCCTACCCACAATCCACCCCTACCCACAATCCACCCCTACCCAGAATCCACCCCTACCCACAGCCCACCCCTACCCACAGCCCACCCCTACCCACAATCCACCCCTACCCACAGTCCACCCCTACCCACAGCCCACCCCTACCCACAATCCACCCCTACCCACAGCCCACCCCTACCCACAGCCCACCCCTACCCACAATCCACCCCTACCCACAATCCACCCCTACCCACAATCCACCCCTGCCCACAATCCACCCTTATCCACAGCCCACCCCTACCCACAATCCACCCCTACCCAGAATCCACCCCTACCCACAGCCCACCCCTACCCACAGCCCACCCCTACCCACAGCCCACCCCTACCCACAATCCACCCCTACCCACAATCCACCCCTACCCACAATCCACCCCTACCCACAATCCACCCCTACCCACAATCCACCCCTACCCACAATCCACCCCTACCCACAATCCACCCCTACCCACAGCCCACCCCTACTCACAGCCCACCCCTACCCACAGCCCTGCCCATAAGACATCACCATGCCCTGAGCTCAGTCTTCAGACTCCATGAAGGTTCCCATTAACTGACAGCCAGCCTCTCTTTCTGCTGCATGCTCCAACAGGGCCTTCCCTTCCTACCCCTTTCTCCCCTTCCCCTAGCTCCCTGAAGAGGCTCTACCTTGCATTCCCTGTCCTCTCCCAAGTGTCCTCTGTGTCCTATCCCACGCCTCCCTCGGAACATTTGCCACACTGTATTGGTCACCAGGGCCATCAGCGGAACTCACTGAAAGTCCAGGAATGGCAAACGTTCCGTTGGCTGACTTGAACTTAAGGCTTTGTTCTCTTCCTGCCCCTCTGGAATCCAGCAGTACGGAGTGTATCCCACTGTAAATATCAGTCTATGAGTTCCTTTTTTCCCTTAACGTACTGGTGACAGTGTGACTTTGATGCAAGAAAAAAAAGACCATGAGTTTGTGTGTTAGTCATCTCCATCATCCTGACAGATGCCTCAGGCCACCTTTAAAGGAGGGCCTGTGTTTGTCTCCAGAAATTTCAGTCTATGGACCTCAGCTCTGGGTTGCTTCTGAGTCTGTGAAACACACACACACACACACACACACACACACACACACACACGGTGGCATGTGCCTGTGATTCTAGTGCAGGGAGGATCCTAGGGTTTGGTGGCTAGATACTCTTGCTGCGTTGGTGAGCTCCAGGTTCAGTGAGAGACCCTGTCTCAAAAAAAGAAGGTGGAGAGCCGGGCGTTGGTGGCGCACACCTTTAATCCCAGCACTTGGGAGGCAGAGGCAGGTGGATCTCTGTGAGTTCGAGATCAGCCTGGTCTACAAAGTGAGTTCCAGGACAGCCTCCAAAGCCACAGAGAAACCTTGTCTCAAAAAACCAAAAAAAAAAAAAAAAAAAAAAAAGGTGGAGTAATGAGCATACCCAACATAGATCTCTGGCCTCTACACACATGTGCGTGGATAAGTACACACCACACACACACACACACACACACACACACACACACACACACAGAGTTGCCAAATTGGTGGCCATTACCCTTGTCCCTCCAAAAATCAGGAGCAGGAAAGGAACCAGGTCCAGGCGGGTGTCAGGACGGAAAGTAGAGCTCCCAACAGACGCTCACAGCTGAATCAGTTGCTGAGTTGGATCTCCTGTTTACTATCATGAAGAAACGAGCACTTCTAAGCCACTCACCCTGTGGGTCACATTCTGGAAGGGGCTCATGGGATCTTGGAAGCTGTGGCTTCAATCTTTCAGATTCAGAGAGGCCACTGAAATGATGGAACTAAGAAAGGGAGGGCATAAGGATGTGAATCTGAACACATACTAATGTGAACACACACACACACACACGCACACACACACACACACACGCACGCGCGCACACACACACACACACACACACACACCTGCATCCTAAGGACCCCTTGCTTGGCATACATTCACCAACTTGTCTGGCTCTGACTGAGTGGTATGAACCTGTGTTCCCAACATGTCACAGCGTGTGGGAAACATTGAGTTTTCTATGGAAGGGTTAACTAAGACACGACTTCATATAAAATTAAAAATAGATATATATTTGTATGTGTGTGAAATCCCTCCCTTCCCTCCCTTCCCTTCCTTCCCTGCCTCCCTCCCTCCCCTCCTTCCCTCTCTCCCTCCCTCTCTCTCTCCCTCCCTCCCTCCCTCCCTTTCCTCCCTCCCTCCTTCCCTCCCTCCCTCTCCCTCCCTCCCTTTCCTCCCTCCCTCCCTTTCCTCCCTCCCTCCTTCCTTCCTTCCTTCCTTAGAAAATGTTCTAAGTGTCTCACACTGGTCTCAAACTTGGCTATGTAGCTGAGGATGACTTTGAACTTCTGATCCTTCTGCCTCCACCTTCCCACCTCTGCGTGTTGGCATTATAGATGCTGACCACCCTGCAAGGTTTTATGCAGTGCTGGGGGCCAAACTTAGTGCTTCGTGTAGACTAGACAAACTCTCGACTCTCTGAGCTACACCTTCAGCCCCCAGGCTGTGCCCTAAAACGACGCTGCCTGGTCAGGTGGGCTGGCTCAGAAGGTGAAGACATTTGTCACAAACCTGGCAACTTGAATTTGATCTCTAGAACAGACACGATGGAAGGAAAGAACCAACTCATGAAAGTTGTCCGCTGACCTCCAGATGTGAGCATGCCTTCATAAATAAATATATATATATATATATATATATATATATATATATATATAATAGAGTATCAGTGTAAAACAGCTGTAGCCTCTACTGTCCCGCGGAATCCCAACCACAAGGAGAAGAGCCGGATGCTATCCGCGTTCTATAGGTGAGAAGTCAGACATACAGCTAGAGACTCTAGAGACCAGGGCTTACTCACTTATTATGCGTGGCTAGGCACAGATTCTGGGGGTGGGTTGGGGGAACCACAATAATTTTAGGGGTCACAGAAGTGATAGATTTTTATCTTAAGGAAAGTTTAATATAGTTAATATTTTCTTTGTAGTATTTAATATTTTCTTTGTAAACAGCGTAGATAAAAATACAAATTTTCAGCTGTTTCTGATAGAGGAATGGACCTAGGGTCGGAACAATATCTAGGGCCCAGGAGAGTCCTAGCAGGACTCTTACTTGCCTTGCCAGCCGAGCCACAATCCAAGCCAGGTGTGCCTGCCTCCAAAGGTCACGGTCTCCTGAGCGTCCTCTACCATGGGCATGGAAACCCAAGTTCAGGCTCCACGGTGAAAGGCTGGGAAGCCCGGCATACGTGGTCTTCCATCGCCACCTGGTGGCCTTTATGGGGACTTTGGGTTAGTCACAAGGGAATTTAGGAAGCATCCGGACTCTTTGCATCTGGACTCGCGCGGGGCGCAGGTTAGGGAGCCCCCTCTAGGCTGCCGTGGAAATTCACACATCTTGCCCTGCCCGTACACGCATGCGCTCTTCATTGCTGACAACCCCGAGTTCTATCAGTAGTTTTCAGGGTTAGACTTGTCTAGTATGAGCGTACTGTGAGCCGACATGCACTTTGAAATCATCCAGCAGCCATATCTTTCTTTAAAAAACAAAAGAAAACAAATAAAGTGACATCTGGGGCGGGGCTCCAGACAGGGTTTCTCTGTATTGCTTTGGAGGCTGTCCTGGAACTCGCTCTTGTAGACCAGGCTGGTCTCGAACTCACAGAGATCCACCAACGCCCCGCCAAAATAACATATTTTATAAATGTAAACCTGAGTGTCAGTGTGTGGGGGTCAAATCTAACCCATCTGCCTCTGGCTGGCTTTGGTCTTTGTTACTGTTTTTTAAAAATTTACTTGTTCTTATTACTTGTTCTGTCTGTATATTTGCCTGCTGGCCAGAAGAGGGCACCAGATCTCACTACAGATGGTTGTGAGCCACCATGTGGTGGCTGGGAATTGAACTCAGGACCTCTGGAAGAGCAGCCGGTGCTCTTAACCTCTGAGCCCTCTCTCCAGCCCCGTCTTTGCTGTTTTATAGGATCACTGCCACACCCAGGGCTTTTGAATGCTCTCTGGCTGCTTTTGCCTTACAGTCGATTTGTGCGGTGGAGCCAGATAGCTCACAAGCTTGAGAACACTCACTCTATCCCTTCACAGGAAAACTGGTTCCAACAGTCTATCCTATCAACCTTAGAATTAATGATGGGCTTGTTCGTGTTTCCTACCATACTCAATCTTCACACACACACACACACACACACACACACACACACACGGGTGCACGAATGCACACATGACACACACAGGTGCCTTTTTTTTTTTTTTTTTTTTTTTTTTGGTTTTACGAGACAGGGTTTCTCTGTATTGTTTTGGAGGCTGTCTGTCCAGCCTGGCCTCGAACTCACAGAGATCCGCCTGCCTCTGCCTCCCAAGTGCTGGGATTAAAGGCGTGCGCCACCACCGCCCGGCTCACAGGTGCCTTTTATACTCAGAGACTATATCAACATGCATTTAAAGTGCTCAGCGACACATGAGGCTCATGAATACCAAATTGGAGACAAAGGCTTAGGGGAAAAATGCCCGCAAATTCCATGTGGGTATTCGTTAAACACAGACTGTCTGCCTGCCTGCCTGTCTGCCTGTCTGTCTGTCTGTCTGCCTGTCTGCCTGTCTGCCTGTCCTTCCTTCTGCACTCCCCCTTTCTTTGCGTGTCTTTATGTGAATGTGTGAATGGATCTGCATGCCCAGAGCCAAAAGAGGTGAGAGCCTCCTCCTCTACCGCTTCAGACCTCCCTGAGGCAGGCTCTCCCTGAGCTTAACCCCAGTGATCCTGCTGACAGCGCTGCTGGCTACTGGGGTATGTGTAGGGTTTACATCAAGGCAGGGATCTAAACTCCAGTTCAGGTGGCTACACAGCGAGCGTTCTTAACTGCTGAGTCACTTCTCCAGCCCTCCTCCCCACCTCTCTTTCCCATCTTGATACAGGGTGTAGTAGGTGGCCCTGGGTTTGCTTTGGAAGCAAGGAGGGTGACTTTGGACTTCTGACCCTTCTGTTTCCACATCCAAGAGCTGGGATTACGGGCCGTGTCCCACCAAGCCTCCTATATGTGGTGCTGGGGACTTGGAGGTTGAACCCAGAACTTTGTGCAAGCCACGCAATCACTATCTGAGCTACGTGTCCATCCCCCGGTCCTTTTGGGTTTGTCCTCCAGGGAGAATCTAGGCATTAAAATATGGGGCAGCTGCTGTTTATAATGAGTCTAGTTTCCACCCGCACCTTTAGCTTGGTGCTAGCTAGATAGCACCGTCCCTAGGATAACTGAGGAAACCTCCCCTCAGGTGGTCACTTAGTAGGGCTGAGCGGACATACAGAATGCTCACCAAGAGAGCCTGTCCTCTTCCAAGCAGCCTGTGTACGTTCTGCTGGAGACCATCACAATTCACCACACACATGGATGGAACCAGGCACTGTGACAAAAGCTTGCTAAGTGTGATATTGTTTAATGACAGACGACCAGCGGCCTGCGGCAGGGAGCTCTCTCAGTGCTCCAAGGCTGTCCGATTTCCTCACCACAGCCCTTCTCACTTCACCTGTGGGTTCCAAGGAGCCCAGCGCAAGCCTTGGGCTTTCAATCCAATGGCCCCAGAAAAACCCGGTGAGTTTTTGGTGTTTGAGTAAATTCAGTAGGTGTTTGCCCAGCAACTCAGCCATGTCAGGCTGCTGTGTGAGTTCCAAGAAAGCTTATTTATTTCTACAGTGGTCCTTGGTCACAGTCTGTCTTCTGTTCTCTCTCCCTCAATAGTATTGTCAGAGCTAATTAGGGAAAATCAGGTAAGTTAGCTGCATTCAGTATTTTAAAATGGTCTCGTTGTCTGTGAGATTTCAGGATAATCAGCAAACGAGTAAAGGCCTGGAGAATTCCTCTCAAGGCAGCTCTTGAGAGACTCGTCTGTCCAGTTCTCTCTGTTCAGCCTGAGGGACAGCCCTTTTAACTAGGATGGAGAGCACCTCGAAATGCCCCAAGTTAAGGCAAACCTGTGACCATCTTGGTTTCGCAGAGAGTATATGTGCAGGTTTAGGCTCCCTACACAAGGACGTCTCTCCCCTAAGCAACGAGGGACTGCGAACAGCATCGCCTGATGGGACTCCGTGGACTACTCTTTCCACGTCTGGGGCTGTGCTTGGGAATGCTTTCCATGCACAAAGAGGAAGACCCGACAAGACGGCTCTGATAAGTAAAGACTGGCTGACGCAGGGCAGGGGTGGTAGGCTGAACTGTGAGTACGCTGAAGTCCTCACTGATTTGGAAACAGTAGGTGAAGTTATCTAGGGCGGTGTGGGCCCTACACGTCTGACATCCTTATTCGATAGAGGTGTGAGGACAGGCCAGGCTAACCTGTGTGACTCTGAAGGCCGCTTAGAGCAGTGCTGACACAGGCCAAAGAGCACAAGCCGTGAGAGCAGGAAGGAGGCAAGAAGGGGCGGGGCTCCTCTGCCAAGAGGGGGCGTGGCCTTGGGTTCCTTGGCTCCTCAACCTCCAGCCTCTAGAGTGGGGGATACAGTGAGGTCTCCTGGGTTTTCATAGCTCAGTTTTAGTTGTGGCTGTGGCTCCAGGATGGCCCCAAGGACACACCGGTTGAGAAAAGAGACTGGCTAGACGCTAATTTCTTCCTGGGTTCATGATGATAGGACACGATCCAGCTGTCAACCACCTGGAAGTCGCCTGGTCTCACTAGCAGAACTCAAGCATCAGGCCTGTGAACATCAGGTCAAGGACAAGGTGGTTAAGAGCGGTTATGCTGCAGGCTCGGCGTCTCGAGGCTACGGAAGCCACGGGTCGTTCACGCAAGAGTTCCAGGTCAGCCTAAGCTCTACAAGAACCCTTATCTCAGAAAAGCCCAGGGAACGAAAACCCCATGTGGTTCCAGTGTCTCTGCATTTCCCCTATCCTTGAAGAGAGGACTCTAGAAAGGGTGCTGAGGTCTCTGAGTCACTGGCAGAGTCACCAGACGAGGGCAGTGTCTCCCCTAGAAGAGACCTAGGAAGTTGTTCCCTCAGCCTTAGACCGGACTCTGGTGGGACAGAAACATCTTCCATGAGTGGGGGCGGAAAAAAAAACAAGGAACTTATCTTTATTGTTTTAAATAGTTGAGACTTAGGGCTGCTTGTTGCAGCCCCGAGGCGGGGCATCTCTGACTGATGCAGGGGCAAGGGGAGCAGCCAGAGGAGATGACAAACTCCTCCCTGAGCTCTAGGATACACAGGGGCCAGAGCAACTCTGCTATAGATCCCATCATCAAATGCAGAGAAAATAAACGATAGGTCTTGGTCCTCCTTGTAGTAGGGGTGGACCCCTCCCCTGTCCAGGCCTGCTAATGCAGCATGGCATCTCACTGTCTTCCCCAGGGCAAGGAGCAGCATGGCTGGTGACGGCAGGGAGGGGCCGGTCTGTAAGCTGTGGAGTTCTCTGTGTGTGGACAGGAGCCCCGGACACAGGCCAACAGTACACCCCGGTATACTTCTCGTCACTCTCAGCCAAGGAAGCAGGGCTCAGTGGAACTTGGAGGGAGGTAGGGCCGGCCCGCAGCGTCTCCCCACCTGGCTGGTCCAGATGGGTCACACGGAAAAGGAACCGCCGAGACCCTTTCCGAGTTCACATGAGGTGGTCTGTTCTCCGTGGGATATGAAAAATGCCGTTCTTGGTGTAAAACGAATTTGCGATGGGGTGCGTTTTGGCATGAGCTGGAGTCCTGAAGTCCTTGGCATCCCCTGGAACACAGCAGAGGCCTGGGTGAACAGGGGTCGCCACCATCCTCCTGCTAGAACTTCCCCACCTAAAGGGCCGAGGGTCAGCGGTGACGTGTTACCACATGGGGGAGACTCTTCCGTCAGTCAGGGATAGCTGTCGCCTCTCAGTGCCCCTGGCCCCTTCCCGAGGATGCTCAGAACTCCTCGTGGCCCCACAGCTAAAGGCTAATGTGTGCACAGCGTGGAACCTCAAACCTTGCACAGGACCCCATCAGGGTCTGTTCGGGCCAGCGCTCAAGTCATTCCAACGGTTACCCAGCTGGGCCCTGCACCTAACTCCAAGCTCACCTGCCTTTGTCAGGACTGTGTCACTGTATAGTAAGATTTCTAGGGGCTGCCCAAGGCCAAACTAACTCCTCAGATGCCCACCGCTGCAAATCCTGCCTGCCGCGCCAGGAGTAACAACCATAACTTAATAATAACAAACTAATAAATACAATGTTTGTTCCTACTTTACTGAGCACTTACCGTGTGTGAGGCATCATCAGCTGTTATATATATACATACGGGGAAGTTTTGACCGACCCGGCTGGGACCCAGGTCATGTCTCCCACACTCTTCCCTATGTGCCTACCCCCTCTGGGATGAACTACCTCTCTCTGTAATTAGGGTAGGGGACAGTATCAGTCAGCAGACGGTCTGTCATCTGCCCTCCAAGTGACACCTGAATTGGGTTCGGGTTCAGGGTGTGAGGTCAGAGGCTTATGAAACGTTCTAGAGATTCTGAGATCAACTTTGAGCTTAAGCAGACGGTGCTACAATCCAGCATCATTCTAGCAGCCAGTGAGCATTCAGAACCAGGCTAACCAGCATGGCCGCTGACGCTCAGGGTTCTGGATAAAGCGAAGGCTTTGCTCAGGCACATTTGGATTGCAGGGAGCCGTGAATAATCTTCAGAGTATGCTCACACCGTGTTTACTGTACACTCGTACAAAAAAGCTATTTGTTGCCTAGGATCCAAATGAGCTTTTGTAGCCTGTGTGCGTATTCGCAAAACCTACCGACATAGTGCCTTCACAGGCAGTGAGCACGGGCCTGGGAGGCAGAGTAGGAGAGGAAGCGCTGGTCACGTAACGGAGATGCTTCCTGTGAGTACAGGCCATCAGGTCCTTTTTGGAAGAGCACTGCACAAAGGCACTACCCACGACAAGACTCCGTGGTGGCCCTGCTGCTTTCTGTCTGCCAGGGTAGCCCCTAACCCTGATCCCCATATCCCGAGGGTAGCCCCTAATCCTGACCCCCATATCCCAAGGGTAGCCCCTAACCCTGACCCCCATATCCCGAGTTAACTCCTGCTCTCACAGCTTTGACAGTAAGTTTGGTTCACAGACAGGCGGCAAATGCAGCCCCTGGGAGCTTGGTAGAGGTACAGAAACAGGCCAAGATCCACCCTGCATCCCAACCCCAAGCTCTGACAACTGATTCCAATGCCCAGTGAGAAGAAAAAGCAAAAGCCTCGCAACATGGCCGCTGCCTGCACCTACAGCATGTATCTGCTGCCTGTCTGCCTTCCACGGAGGCAGACACCGTACCGTGTCTGTTTTGCTCTCTGGTTCATCCCCAAGGACAAAACATGCCTGGCGCATATCAGTTGCTCAACAGAACCCGCCAAATGAACAGAGAGACCAGATTTCCACTCAGGCGGAGTTTGTCTTCTGAGCCTGGCTGTTCTGATGCTCCTTTCAGGGGAGAACTGAGGCTCAGAGCCAACCGGGCTCCCTATTATGGGCTGTCCAGAGAGGGTTCCACGGGCCCCACATCTCACGGGGTTTTTGTGAGCAGAATTCCTGTCCCACACGACCTCCCCCCAAAAAAATGCTGTGAAGAAGAAAGGCAGGTACTAGTTTATTCCAGTTTCAGATACAGAAACGAAGGCCCTGAGGAGTGACTACTCTCTCATGAGATCATGCCATCCACAACCAAAAGGATCGGGATTTGAGATGTCCCCACCCCCGGTCCAAATAAAGGACTTGCTCTCCTGTTCATGTTTGGATTAGGTTTTGATTTTTTTTTTTTTGAGACGGGGTCTCAAGCAGCCCCGGCTCACATCAGCCTCCCCACGGAGCTGACGTTGGTTCACTCTGAACTCTTGGCTCCTCCTGCCTCTGTCTCTTGAGCGCTGGACTTACAAGCGTGTACCGCCGTGTCTGGCATGGCCGGCACTCAACCACTCCACAGCCATTCAGCGTCAGTTCCAAGCAGGCGGCTGAGAGGCTATGGACGGGAAGTCTTGGAATATACAGGGCCTCCAGGCCGAGTGGGCATGCAGACTGCTGACGCAGTAGCCCTCACGCCCCTGTAGACTCAGCGAGCTGTAGTAGAAGCACCGGGTGGGCTCAGGGAATCTGCCTGGAAGACTCTGGGAAGGCTCCCTAGGAGAGGAAGCATGTACTCGGGCCTGGTAAGAGGGAGGGGAGACCACGCCAGGCACCATGCGCGGGTGGGAAGCCTCCTGGTCCACGTGGGGAGTGGTGAGCTAGCTTGGCTCTCTGTGTCAGGAGGGAGGTGGTGAAGAGAGAGGCTGGGGAGGAAGGATCAGTTCTGTCCGTCAAACGTCTGGAGCGGCGACTGTGCCATGAACTTACCAATGTGCCAGCCATACTCCCAGGAAGACAGGATGGGGTACTTGTACTTCTTCTCTGGTATCAGTCGATTCCGCTCCTTGAGGTATAGGGTCCGGCCCTGGCCTTCGTGGGAGATGCCTTGGAAGAGCAACTTCAGAGTGGATGGGGTGGGTTGCCTCATTTCTAAGTTCTCCGGCCTGCCTTGGGCTGCTGGGTACCCAGGGGCTCCCCTCGCCTGCTTCGCTCTGTCTCCCTGGACACCTCCAGGCTTGAACAGCTGGTCCTGGACCCCCCTGGTTTCTGGCCATACCGCCTGTGCCTCTTTTCTGACAGGGGAGCCAGGGGCAGGCACTGGGCCTGCTTTCAAGACTGACCCAGAGGAGGCCTGCTGGGGCTGCTTCCTGGTCCTGGGGGCCTCTTTCGGGTACTTGTGGCCATAGCGGATGTTCCAGGTGGCCCGAGTAACCACCTCCTTCCTTATTCGCTCCTCCCAGAAGGCCTGATTTGACGAGTTGATCAACAGGTCCCTCATGTTAGGGAGTCCAGCGGTGGGAAGATTCTTTTTCCTGAAGCTCGGCGGTCTGTGTTTGGATGGCTGGTGTCTGTCTCCAAGGAAACGTGTAGCCAATAAGAACCAAGTTGCTAGGGCTGCTGGAGAGGAGGGAGGGATGGTGATGGGACTAGGGTCACCCCCTGGCAGGCCAGGCCAGGCCAACTCGGAAAAGGAAGCAGAAGCACGGGCCGGTAAGATGGCTCCGTGGGTAACGGTTCTGTCATGCATGCCCAGTGGTCTGGTTCCATCCCAGAACTCAGGGTGGTGGGAGAGAGCTGACTCCCCAAAGCTGTCCTCTGATCTCCACAGGTTATGTCTGCACTCACCACAAGCACCCCAATGCTCTCTCTCTCTCTCTCTCTCTCTCTCTCTCTCTCTCTCTCTCTCTCTCTCTCTCTCTCTCTCTCTCTCTCTCTCTCTCTCTCTCTCTCTCTCTCTCTCTCTCTCTCTTTCTCTCTCTCACTTACTTTTTAATAATAAATTAAAAAGAGAGAGCAGAGCCTGGCCATGAACCTCCCAGGGTGACAAGAAGGGGGTCAGATGCAAGTATTCCCAGGCAGAGACACCACACAGGGGCCACGCCCCTTTCACACGACGGATCCCGAAGTAACCTGCTGTATGCCAGGCTCCCAGACCAACCAATAGAAGGCATAGTCTCTGCCCTCTGGAAACTAAGGAGTTTGCCGTGGCCATTCTGTGGCCCTGCTCCTCAGAGTCTCAGCCCTGCCGCCTGCTAGCTGGCAAGCCTGTCTGCACACAGGAGATGGTGGGAGTGAACTTTGGCGTTAGAGTAGTGAGTGTTTCACAGTCTGTCTGTGGGGCGGTCTCCGTTTACGCCAGTTAGAGATCAGTCTGTACCTGTGACTAGGCTGTGCTCTGACGCCCGAGCCGTCTCCTTGCTCACGACCCCCTTTCCGAGGTGCAGGATGAAGGCACAGGGAAATGCTGGCAGCTGTCAGCACCCAACCACTGCCGTTACACGAGGGCCACACCTGTTTCACACAGGCCCCAGGCTGGGGACACTCTTCTTTTTTTAAAGGGCAAGGTATTTTTAACTTCTTTTTTTATTTTTAAGATTTATTTATTTACTACATATACAGCGTTCTGTGTACACGCCAGAAGAGGGCACCAGACTGAATTGTAGATGGTTGTGAGCCACCATGTGGTTGCTGGGAACTGAACTCAGGACCTCTGGAAAAGCAGTCAGTGCTCTTTACCTCTGAGCCATCTCTCCAGCATACTCTTCACAGGCGCTCCAGCAGAATTCTTTCAGACCTGGGGAAATGTGGACCTTAAATGCTTGTGCTGCAATAGGACCTGTCAGACCTTTGGTGTCATGACCAAAATATATCAGAAAAACTTTTTAAGAAGAAAAAGAGGCCCAGTGGCGGTGGTGGCACACGCCTTTAATCCCAGCACTCGGGAGGCAGAGGCAGGGGATCTCTGTGAGTTCGATAGCAGCCCGGTCTACAAGAGCGAGTTCCAGGACAGCCTCCAAAGCCACAGAGAAACAGAGAAACCCTGTCTCGAGCCTCCGCGCCCCCCCCCCCCCCAAAAAAAGAAAGAAAAACTTAAAAGGGGAAAAAACGATTTGGTATGGCTTTGCCCGGTGTGGTCCACAATCATTTAGCCCATGAGCCTGGGCAGAAAGAACATCGTGACGGGGGATGAGGACTCACCCATCATCTCATTGTGGCCAGAAAGAAGAGAAAGGGGCCAGCAGGAAGGAGCCAGGGCAAAATCCAGCTCCCGACAGCACAGCCCAGAAACAGCCTTCTTCCAGCCAGGCTCTGCCTCTCCCTTCTCCCCAGCTCTCAGTAAGGCCACCGCCACCGTGGGAACTCACCAAGGGTTTATCCATCCCTTAGGTCACAGCCATGCTAGAAAAAAAAAAAACCCTTTGGGTAACGACCTAGTCCCTAGCATAGGAGCCTTTGTGGGTGGAAACCTCAGATTCAAAGCACTACAACTCCAAAACCTCTGTCTGAGTGACGGACACAAAACTCTCCTGGTGAACGTGCTGTCAGAGAGGGGACACAGACAAGCAGGGGAAGGCTCTGTCTGCACCATAGGACAGACCCTTCCCCACAACTCTCACAGCCTCTGCCTCTCTCCTGGAAAGGGCCAGTGAGGAGAGTGCTACCCACAATTCTCTGGGGCCACCTGTCTCCCCATCCTGGGCTCTATGTGCACTCAATTAATCATCCCACAAATACGAGTTTGCTCTAGACCCACGTCTGGTGCCAGGGGAGACACAAAACGTAGGCAGATGAGGAGGGGTGGGACTTTTATGCTCCCAGCCCTATAAGGTTTCAGCCCAGGAGGTAGAGTTAACAGCACGATATCGGGGTGTCAGGGAGTCAGGGGAGGCTTCTTGGTGAGGGTGCCCTTGGACTCAGCTTGCAACCAGAAACAGGAGTCCGTCAGGCAGAGTTGGGGGGGAACAGTGAACAGACTGGGACCCTCATCTGACAGACGAGCTCAAGGCTATGAATCAGCCACAAGCTGTCCCTGGATGAAGATGAAGGCTAGAGGGAGCTTGGGGACTTAAGAGATTAAATGTAAAACAAACATGAGAGCCTGGGCCTACCGTACCCCCTTTTGAGTGCTTTGAGTAGTCCCTTGGATCAGGCCGCAAACCCCGGTTGTTCTACTGTGTGCCTGGAATCGCATATCTGAACAGAAAAGAAGTCCCGTGCTCACAAACCAAGAGCTTCCTGGTTCTACCCGGCAGAGCAAGGATCTGTACTTCCAGGGTGTTTTCCCATTTTACAGATGTGGGCACTGAGGTTCCAAGGCCATTCATTCCCTGGGATGCCTTGGTTGGTAAGCTTGCTTGCAGGGCTGGGATTGGTAAACTTGAACCCACTGCAGAGGGCTTCACAGGTTTCCAGTGATGATGCCCAGGTCCAGCCATCAGCAGGCTCTAGCTCCACGCGGTCCCACAGCTGCTCTTAGGCCACACATGAGGCACGTAGTTTATATAAGGTGAGAGGCAGAGAAGGGCGTGAACCTCTTCGCCTGTGCTTGGGACCATTACGTTACTGTCTTCTTCCACAGACCAGCTTTCAACCCAGTGGGACACCTGCTCAGTCTCCACTCTGGGGACCCGAGTCACCTCAGCATCCTTCCAGATGTCCTGGAAGCCCTGGTTTACCCGGGTCTGTTAGGGGGCGGGTAGATGGTCTGAGCATAGAGGTGCCTGTCTTAGCTTAGAATGTAAGGCCCCCGCCTTGTCCCCATTTTACAGGTAAGAGCACAGAGGCCCGAGAGACAACTCGGCTGGCAAGCAGCAGGGCTGGGACTGACACTAGACCTGAAAGATTGTTGCTCCAGACAACGTTGCTTGTGGGTCCTCACACACGGGCGTCTTTCCCTCTGCTGTTCAGTTAGCGGGGCCTGGAGTCCGGAGCCTCGGTCAAACTGTTGCCTCTGGGAACACCCTGCCCAGGTTTAGCTGGACCTGAAGAATGTGCCCCACCTCGCTGGTGACTGGGTGTGGCAAGGGTGGGTGGTCAGACAGGGGAAATGCGGGCAATAAAGGGACCAGAAGATCCTTTGTCCTGGGGAGATAAACAAGTCCAAAGCTCAAAGCACCCTGGGATGTGTGCCACAAGCTTGTAAATTCCAGGCTCTTGGCTGCCTTTGAAAATGCTGAGGAAGAGAAAAAGGGTGTGAGGGGTGGGTTCCCTAAATTCCATGTACATGAGCTGGTCCTCATGGGCTTGGGGGGCCCAGACAAAGTAGAGAAGGATCTTTTGTTGCAAGGATCCCTCCCACCATGCACTTGGTAAAACCTTGAGGGAAAGGACAAAGAAAAACTGAATTCAGCTTAGAGCCTTCCTGGCTTCCACTTTTAACATTTGTAAGAAAAAAAAAAATTAAGTTTTATTAGGTGATTACCACTTTGTGTGTGTGTGTTTGTTTGTTTGTTGAGCTAGGTCTTTCACATGGTTTGGAACCTGCCAAGTTAGGTTAGGCTGGCTGGCCAGGGAGCCTGGGGACCCGGCTGTCACACCTTCCCAGCATGGGGATTTCTGGTGGACGCTATCAAAGGCAGCTTCTTCGCATGGATGCTGGCGAAGGAACTCACGTGTTCAGCCACTGGGCTGTATTAAACTCCCAACTCTCTTATTCCCCCACTTGAGTACAGACTTCAGGGCTTGAGCTGGGGGCACGGCTCAGTGCCCCCCCCCGTATTAGATCTGCTCAGTAATTAAAACAACAACAACAAAACTAAAACAAAGCCCAGAAAAATCCACCTCCCCAGTGCTGCTGGCTTTGCAAGCAAGAATACAAAGCTAGAACACCCATGTTTTTGATGCTGTTGGTTATCAAGGCTGAACCATTTTCAAAGGAAATCAAGTTCCCATGTACTGAATTGTACAAGTGCATCAAAATGTGCTCCCCCCCCCTTTGAAGTCCTAAAACAAGTCGCCAAGGGCTAATACGGGTAAGCAGGCTGTCAATGAACATTTGCTCCTTGAAGCCACCTTGGTAAGCACTTCCCTGGGCTGCAGAGGACAATTTGGGAGGCAGGATGGGCATCCAGGATGGGTAGGGCAGGGTGGGCACTGGCTACAATTCCACTAGCCTCTGGAGTGACATCCTAGACTCAACAGCCTCAGCTGGGGACCGGGGAAACAGCAAGTCAGGGAGGACCTGGCACCAGGCCCGCCGGGTTTCAAAGTTTTCAGGGTATTGACACAAACAATAGTCTGTTTCCACAGCAACCAAGCCCAGGTGCCGATAAGAGCTGCCCTCTGGTTCCAGGCACTGAGAGCAACAGGTTTCCACCCCTGACATCACAGGCAGCAACGGCAGAGCTGCACCCCAAAGGTAAAACTGTCACCGCCCACCAGGTGCCTACCACCAGCCAGCTCACACGCTCACACACACCCACGTATGAGGCCCGGCACCGCCAGCAGGGCTGTCCACACAAAGCAACAAGCAGAGGACGGTCCCCACAGGTCCCCACGGGGGTTCATGGCAGCCTTACGCCCCAGCCAAAGGAGGCGTGCTCGGAGGGCCAGCTAGAAGGCGGTATTCACACCCAAGTCAATGGCTGTCATTGTACAAATTCTGCCTCCCCTAGCAAACCTAGCCAGGCTTAGAGGGGGGAACAAAGGAACGGCGGCACCCCCCCGCTTCTCACGACAAAGCCGGCATCACACAAGACAGTATGGGTGGACTCCTCAGGGCCAACAGCTTTACAGAGACTGCGAGTCTAGGACAGGCTCTTCAAGGCGCAGGGAAGAAAGGGGTGCATCTGCCTCACCCCCTCTCTAAGCTCAGAGGGAAATAGACCATTCTGATATGCAGCCAGGTAAAACAGG